ATGTGTGTTTTTCTCCTTCATTCCATTAATATGATGCATTATATTGGCAGGTCTTTGTATTCTGAACTTCCCTTGTGTTCTTTTTAAAAGCAAGTTTTTTCCCCTCTATTCAACTTTTATTGTTGTTGCTATGATTGGTGGCTCCAGAGCTCGCACACAGCCTTATCTGGTGCTTAGGAGATTGCATTTTGTGGCAGCACTGGGGATCCCAGTCAGCGGTATTGCGGGGACCCAAATGGCATGTATATGGCGGGGGGCACTGGAGATTGAACTTGTGATCTCATGCCTGCCAGGCAGGCACTTTGCCCGGAGCCACGTCCCTGGGCTCTCACTGTGCATTCTTGGGAAACCCTTCGCCTGCTGCTGGATTCCATCTGCTGGCATTTTGCTGAAGATTATTATATCATAGGCATAAGGGAGGTTGTTCTGTAGCTTTCTTGTGACATCTACAGCAAGTGCGCTGTCAGGACAGTCTTGGCCCTACAGAATAAGTCAGGGTGTATTTTCTTCTTTTCAATGTTTGGAAAGAATTTCAAGAGTGTGGTATTAATTTTTCTTTAAATGTCTTTAAACTTTTCTGTGAAACTGTTTGTTCCTGGAACTTTGTTTCTTGTGAGGTTGTTTACTGATTCTATCTTTTTACTTATTACAGTTCTATTCGGATTTTCTATTTATGCTTTAGAAAGTTTGGGCAGTGTGTGTGTGTGGCAGTGGGTGTGTTTTTCTAGGAATTTATCTTTTATCAAAATTATCTAGTTTTGTTGATATCGATTATTAGCAACTAATTAGTATCTTGTTAAAGTATCCACCCAAGATTGTGAATATTTCTGTTTCCTTTTAGTTTCATTGATTTTTAATTTTTATTTAATTTACTTTTATTTGATATGCCAAAAACAGTAACAACAAGTCTCACAATTTGTTGTGAGACGTTACTGGTGCCCGCTCAAGAAAATCGATGAATGTCCTTACTTTTGTGTGTCCCATACCCAATAAGTACTCAGGGACCACTGAGTCTGGTGACCAAATCCAGGCTCTTACATATTTTATGTCCTTCGGCTCTTTGAGACATCTCCCTGGCTTCTGTCTTTCATGTTTTGAGATTATGTGGTTCCATACATACAGATTGAGTATGTTTAAATTTTTGAGTGGACTGACCCCTAGATTTTTTTTTTCTTTTTGGGTTACACCTGGCGATGCTCAGGGGTTACTCCTGGCTCTGCACTCCGGAGTTACTCCTGGTGGTGCTCAGGGGACCATATGGGATGCTGGGAATTGAACCCGGGTTGGCCGCATGCAAGGCAAATGCCCTATCTGCTGTTCTATCTCTCCAGCCCCCTAGATGTTTTTGAATAGAGGCTTCCCTGGAATTCTCAGGGGCCCAGGGTCTGTCCCCAGTATTATGAAATAAATCTTTTTTTTTCCCTTTTGTCATGCCTGATGATGCACAGGGGTTACTCCTGGCGTATGCACTCAGGAATTACTTCTAGTGGTGCTCAGGGGACCAAATGGGATGCTGGGAATTGAACTCTGGGTTGGTCGCATGTAAGGCAAACGCCCTACCCACTGTACTATCACTCCAGCCCCCAAAATAAATGTCTTTATTTGATCTCCCATAATGCTTTTTGATTTCAGCCTCTGTCATCAGATTGTAGTATGGTTCTAATGGGGTTCTTTCGTTTGTATTTGCATTTACTCTTTTCTCACCCTTTTGCTTCCCCTGTTTATGTTCCCTTGTATTAGGATGTGTCTTTTTTATCCCGTATTTAAAAAAAATTCTGAGCATCTTTTGATTTGCCCAAATAAGGAGTCATTAGCATACTTGAGTTTAAACATACCGAGTTAATATTTGTTTTCATATTCATTCATCTGTTCTACATTCCATTTTTTGATTCCTTTTTTGGGTGAATTGAGTGTTTTTCTGAATTCATTAGCTGCTTAGTTGGGCACTCTTAGAATTCTTTTTGTGGTTTTCACTTTTCATCCCAGACTTACAGCGTACTTGCACTACTTCCTGGGCAATGAAAGTAACTCTGGGCACGTGAACTACATTGATGGTCTTCTGACTACTGCTCGGTCACGTTCTTGACTGTTCTTTTTCACTCTATACTTTTATTCATACAGTCCATATTCATTGTTATTGCTTCACACAGTCCATATTCATTGAGACTCAGACACTTTCCTTTCTGCTTCTTTGTGCTTCCACCGGAGATAATTTTCTCTCCTTCAGAAGAGCTCCCTTTAGTAGTTACTTTCATGATTCAGACTTCTTTGTTGAAGAATCACTGGGGTGTGGCCCAGGACCCCTTGTCCCCAGCAGGTCTGAACTCTGGATTTGTTCTCTTGTTTTCTGTAGTCACTCAGACTCAGCCTCGGGACAGCATTGGTCAGTGCACGGGGACAATGCGCCTCGCTGGCTTCCTCTCTGCCTAGCCCTTTCTTCCCTGATTTTACCTTTGCCTTCCTCACAGCTGCTCTCTCCTGAGTGCCTTTGCCCTGATGTTTTATGCATATTTAGACCAGCATTGGTGTCTGCTGGGAAGGGCCACCTGCAGCTGGGAGCCTGTGAATTATTAGAACAAAGATAACAAAGATCTTGCCATATTGCTTTCTGGATTTTGCTCCCTGTCTCAAGGCTTGGGAGTTGTCTGTGTGTGTGTGTGTGTGTGTGTGTGTGTGTGTGTGTGTGTGTGTGAGAGAGAGAGAGAGAGAGAGAGAGAGAGAGAGAGAGAGAAACTTAGAATTGCTAACATTACCCTCCTATACCTGTGTTATGAATGCACACACATACATGGCTATATACACATATAATCATATGTACACATAACATATGCATATAGACATACGCACCCCTGTGTCAAGACATGCACAGAACCTCTCCCCTTAACCTTTATAAGAGATGTTGAGAATTCTTTGTCACTGATGGTAAAGCCTTTATAATTTTGTTTTCTGCATTCATCTCTGTGGTGTGTAAATGTCCCATATGCTCATAATAGATTCTCTGCTAAAGTGGCATTCAGGAATTTAGTCCTATACTAAGTTCTCCCCCTAAGTTTAAAAAATAAGGGGAGTTCCTTTCTTCCCCTTCTACTTTACAATAAACTTTTGTATTTACTTTTGTCATGCCTGGTGATGTACAGGATTTACTCCTGGCGCATGCACTCAGGAATTACTTACATATATTAATATATATAATAAATACAAAGGTTTGTTTTATATATATATTTACAAAGTCAGTAAGTTGAACCTTGACCTTGTAAATAATATGACCTTGACCTCGTATGTGAAGTCTTTGCTTAGAGACTTCCCAAACTCAAACACACAAGGACTCTGAAACATGTCAACACACTGATTTGATTATGAAATCCTTTTTTCTTGGGCAGGGAGGGGGGTGGTGTTGGGCTGTGCTCAGTATTTACTCATGGCTCTGAGCTCAGGGTTTACTCCTGGCAAACTCACGGGATATTGTGGAATGCCAGAGATCAAATCTGGGCCAGCCATGTGCAAGGCGAGTACCCCACCTGCTTCTTTGGACCCATGAAATCCATTTTTGTTTTTGTTTGTTTGTTGGGTCACACTCAGTGGTGCTCAGGCCTTATTCCTAGTTCTGTGCTCAAGGATCCCTCCTGGTAGTGCTCAAAGGTGCCAGGATTAGGTTGGGGATGGCTGTTTGCTGGGCAGTGCCTTAGCCCTCTTGCTGTCTCCCTGGTCCTGACATCCATTTTGGAGGGATGCCTCTCTTTCCCTCTGTGAGCGTATCTGGGGGAACAGCGCCGGTAGCAGAGCTGAGTCCCTGCAGCAGCGCGGGGCCTGTGTTTGTCTCCATCTGCACAGAGGAGCAGAGCCAGACTGTGTTTGTTGTTGGGGGAGCTTGGAAGTGCAGCAGTGCATGTTGGGAATTGGTCTGCGGGCCTGGCCCCTTTGCTTCTCTGATCAATAAAGAAGGCAGAACCGAGGGACAGATTTTCTTGTCCTGTGTATTTCCTGAAGTAAAACCTACGCAGGTTCCTTAGCACATGGTGCCCATGTATGTTGGTGGACATTGATTTTGGAGGGACTTCCCAAGCAGTGCCCACTGTTAGGCGTGATGATTCTTGGCCAACGGGATCATGCAGTTCACCATGGCCAGACCTGATAAAGTGGTGCTCGTGTGCCCAGCAGTTCTGGACACCCCCTGGGCTATATTCCGCAGGTTTTTGGGGTCTGGTGGGGGTGCTTGGGATTGAAGTTGGGGCATTGTGCATCTCCCCTGATCCTTGGGCTGTCTTCCCATGTTGGATGTTGGGTTCTCAGTATCTCCTTCAATTGAATGTTGGAGGGCTCTGAGGCTGTGGGTAAGAGGGTGATGCAGGAGGGACGGAGCAACCCTGGGGCAGTTGGCGTTGGGGACTGGAGCAGTGACTGCCCTTCCACAACCTTCTTATCTCTGCACCTCCTTCCCCTCAGTTTCCTCATGTGTGGGATGGGACACTGCCAGCACCCACCTCCCTTCCTCTGTCAGTCGTGCATGTTAAGCCTGTGGTGGTGGGGGCACCTGGAAAAGGCCTTTTAGCTGGACACCCTCATCTAGTTCAGAGAAGAACCCTGTGATGGTCTCCTGATGTTCTCATGGTGCTCGAGGATCATATAGAAACTTTTTTATTTTTTCGAGGTAGGGGTGGAGTGGGCTCATTTGCTGGTCACTGGGACTTAGTCCTGACTTTGTGCTCAGGGATCACTCCTGATAGGACTTGGGGGACCATATGGGGTGCTGGGGATTGAACTGGGGTTGACTGTGTGCAAGGCAAGCACCCTAGCCCACTGTACTATCACTCAAGCCCTGATCATATAGAATCCTGAAAGTGAAAAAGAGTTGGGAACTTGTGGAGTTGATGCAGGTCGTTTTTTCCCCCCTCACTACCCCTGCTGTTGCTCATTTCTCTGACTGGGCCGGGCTGGGCTGGCTGGTGGGGACCTCACAAATTTCCATCCCTCCTCTCAGCCACAGTATTTCTCTGTTCCAGAATATCGGCAAGAAGATGTCCTGCCAGCAGTTCATTGCCAACTTGGACCAGCTGAATGATGGCCAAGATTTTGCCAAAGACCTGCTGAAGGTATGGGCTCTGCTTGGCTCCCCTGCCCCCCTCCGTGCTGCCCTCTCAGTCTGTAGTCCTGGAGCCGAGGCCACCATGATTGGCACTCTAGGGACCACACAGCTCTGCACGGGGTTCCTGCGCTCCCTGCGTCAGGCAGATGACACAGGCTTTGTTGTCATCATCACCATCCTGGAACTCTTTACCTTTGCCACCAGTTGTCACAACTTCACCATCACCTTTGGGAGACACCCCCTCATTCCTTCAATGCCACCAAGAATAAGAGGAATCCAACTTTCTTGGAGAGGAAACCCTGACCTTTCAATTCTGGCCACTTCTTCTTCTTCTTCTTATTTATTTATTTATTTATTTTTTTGCGGGGAGGCACACCTGGATACTTAGGGGTAACTCCTGACTATGTGCTCAGGAATCACTCCTGGAGGGCTCAGGAGACCCCATGGCATGCCGGGGATCGAACCCAGATCAGCTGTGTGCAAGACAAGTCCTCTCTTCGCTATCTCTTCAGCCTCTCTGGCCAGTTTTTGATGTTGGAGGAATTGAAATAGGATTTGGGGAGGTTGGTTAATGATGAGTTTGGTTCTACATAGTGAATTTGACGGATCTGGTGATACCAGGTGGGCCATCATTGAGTGAGTTTCAAGGTCAGAGGACAGAGTATTGTCTTCATCCATCATTCTCTATCTTGTCATTAACATCCCTGCCATGGCCAAGCACATAAGGTATTTGTGCCTGTGATTAGTGTTGCCATGCACATATCCATCAGCCCACCAGCTCTTCACTCACCCCCACATCTGCTTCATACCCCAGAATGCTCCACACACCCCTCCACAGCCACTCGCTCATCTGCCTGCCCACCTGTTCCCCGACCTGTCCACCAGATCTGTCTATTCACCCACCCCCAAACAAAGAGGAGTTAAGCTCCCGCTTTGCTCCACTGGCTGAGAAAATGTGCCCGCGCACTCCATTCACACTACTTGGGGGTCAATGATTTCCTGACTCTTCACCTGCACTCTCTCTCTTTACTCCTTCTCCAGACCCTTTACAACTCCATCAAGAATGAAAAGCTGGAGTGGGCCATGTGAGTTCGCCACAGGGCCCACAGGGCCGGGTCTGGGAAGGTGACTGGCTGGGAGGGGGCAGGGAATAGGGAAGGGGGTGGGGAGGGGGTGGGAACATTCCTGCCACTCTCCATGGTGCTGATCTCCCAACCCTGGGACCTGGGGACCTCGTCCTTCTGGCCAGGACACCATACTGATGCCTGTAGGCCAGTTTGCTGCCTGGATTAAAAGGCTGCAGTGCCTCCACTGTGTGGAGTAAGCCGTCAGCCACCTGTGGCTGTGACTTTAGTTTTGTGATGCTCACAGTGGGTGATTTGTACTGGGGACATTGCCACTGTCCCAGTGATGTCAGAGAGAGGCAGGAGGCACAGGGAAGATAGAAACTGCATTCTTTACCCATGGGGAGGACGTGACTGCCCACTGATTCTTCCCCTATGAAGCCGGCAGGTGCTCAGCCTTCTAGAAAGAGCCGTGGTGAAATCTCTGGGTGGGGAGAAAGAGGTTTCTGGGGAGAGTGGCCGAGCTTTCCTGCTGTGCTTCCCAGGGCGACTGGGTCTTGGGGTCTCAGGCCCCAGGAGGGGGCTGTCAGGAGCACCATCCCATGGGGAATTGCTAAGCCCTGGCTCCCGCAGACTCTCAGCTCTGTGTCCACAGTCAGAGGGCCTGGGGAGTGGCTTCACTGTGCCATGACTCCAGCTCTATGGGGCCTTCAGGGAGAGGAGAGGGAGGACCAGCAGGGAGAGCTGGAGACAAGTCAAGTTGCCAGCTCTGTGACCAAGGGTGCCTGGAGACCTGAAGGCAGAGTTACGGGGTGAGGGGTCAGGCATAAGGGGATCTTCCTCATCTCATTCCTCACCTCTGAGCGGCTTCCTGAGAGGGGTAGTGGAGGGAGGAGGCAGAGGATTGTTGATGGGGGGCGGGGGGCGAGACCTCCCTCCTGGCACGGTCCTCAGGCTTCACGCTCTCCCAGTGATGAGGATGAACTCAGGAAGTCTCTGTCGGAGCTGGTGGATGACAAGTTTGGGACAGGCACGAGGAAGGTGACCCGGATCCTGGACGGACGCAACCCTTTCCTGGACGTGCCGCAGGCCCTCAGCGCGGCCACCTACAAGCATGGGCTGCTGACGCGCAAGACCCACGCGGACATGGACGGCAAGAGGAGTAGGTGGCGGCAGGGCTGGGTGGTGGGGAGGGAGGACGCCAGCTCAGGGGACCTGCCTCCCCTCAGCTGTTCCTCTGGGGCTGCTGGGGAAGAGAGGCCACGGTGGTTGCAGCCACACTACCTGTGCCCCTCCCCAGCACCCCGTGGGAGGCGTGGCTGGAAGAAATTCTACGCAGTGCTCAAAGGGACCATTCTTTACCTGCAGAAGGTGAGAGGTGCTTTGTTGTCCCCGCATGGGGTTGGGGGCCCAGGCATCACCCGGTCTGAGGTGGAGGAGGCGGGTCAGATTTGGGACTCCACAGGGGCACATTGGGGTGCAAGGAGTGTCTAGTGTCTGACGCTTATTGGCGCTTACAGGGCCTTGCTGTGGCAGGAGCTGAGAGATGGGGGGAGTGGGCAGAGGGTGGTGTGGGGCCAGCACTGTCCTGATGGCTTGCCTGGGCCCTACCCCCGCCTATAGGATGAGTACAGGCCTGACCGGGCGCTGTCCGAGGGGGACCTGAAGAACGCCATCCGCGTGCACCATGCTCTGGCCACCAGAGCGTCCGACTACAGCAAGAAATCCAATGTGCTCAAGTTGAAGACAGCTGACTGGAGGGTCTTCCTCTTCCAGGCCCCGTAAGTGTGAGTGGGACCCTGCTTCCTAGTTTGACCCCAGGGTCAGGATCGGTGGGAGCGAGCTGGTCCTGCAGCTGCTTTGGCCTGGCTTCAGCCCCACACCACAGCCACAAGAACCTTGACATTGGCACAGAGCCATGGAGTGTGTGTGTGTGTGTGTGTGTGTGTGTGTGTGTGTGTGTATTTCGGGTGTTTCTAAGAAATCATTGCTGCCTGTAGGAGCTGGCAAGCGTCACCGGCTATCTAGTCACACAGGCAAAAACCAAAGACAAAGGAGAGCACTGACTGTTTCTCTGTGATGAGAATGTGTGAGAGTTAATGCCAGCAGCGTCCTCTCACCCACGGCCTGTGCCCCTGTGCCCATCTTGGGCTCAATCCTCTCAACTGGAAGTGGGGCCTTCTGTCACGCTGCTCCCCAGACTTCCAGTCTGATCTCTTTTAAATTTATTTGGTTTTGGGGCCACACCTAGCGATACTCAGGGGTTACTCCTGGCTCTGCACCCAGGAGTTACTCCTGGGGGTGCTTGGTTGACCGTATGGGATCCAGGGATCAAACCTGGGTTGGTGACATGCAAGACAAACGTCCTCTTGGCTGTGCTAGCACTCCAGCTGGTCTTATTGTTTCCTCCTAGTTGTCTTTAGAGTCCACATGTCCGTGAGACCTCACAGCATGTGTTTTTCTGTCTTGGCCCTTCCCTGCTGTGAGGGTGACAACTGAGGTCACCCTCTGCCCCTGCCTGCCCTAGGGTTCTGGGGATACCTGCAGTTCCTACAGGGGGGCAGATGGCATCTTTGCACTCTGTCCTTCCCTTTGGGGGGCTGTGAGGGTGGGGCACGAGAGGCTTTCTGTCCACTGGCTGGGCCCTGTCCTTCGGCACCTGGAGAGTCTGTGGTCTCAAATGAGCTCTGAGGGAGATGAGGGCTGGGAAAATGGTAGAAATAGGGGGCACACACCCTTGCTCAGTTGCTGGCCCCGCCCGCCCCTAAGGAGGGGTACCAGGAGGACAGCTGGGCATGGACATGCTGGGCGAGGTCATGGGGAAGCGCTAGCAGGGAACCCTCGCCTCTGCAGTGCCTCTCTCAACCTGCCCTCACAGGACCCTTCGCTTGGCCCTGGGAAGTACCTGGACATGCCCATCTGCCATCTGGTCTGGCCTAGGTGCAGGGACAGCGTGGAGGCGGCCAGGTCCAGCCATTCCCATCTCACCCCTCCCTCCCTCTTATGCCCAGTGGAAGAAGGTTTCTATGTCTGCTCTGTGCCAGGCTTGTGCTGGGCAGTGCGGGGAGTCAGGTCCTTCTCTCCCCCATGCCAGGAGCAGGGAAGAGATGCTCTCCTGGATCCTGCGCATCAATCTGGTGGCAGCCGCCTTCTCGGCCCCAGCCTTCCCCGCTGCTGTCAGCTCCATGAAGAAGTTCTGCCGGCCCCTGCTGCCCTCCTGCTCCACTCGTCTCTGCCAGGTGCGGCCCTGTGGTGTGGGCGGGCGGTGGGGGCTGCTCTGCAGCGGGGGCTCTAGCGGTGGGTACAGATGTGGCCCTGGACACTGAGTGTGCATGTTGGCATGGGCATGAGGGAGTGTGAGCGAGTGAGTGTGAGCCATGGGGAGTCAGGGTGCGGCGGGCCTTGGCTGCCTCCGCCCGACTCTCTGGCTTCCCTCTCTACCCTCCCTGCTTCATCCAACACCTTGAGAGCCCCAGCACCATGTCTGTGGATTCCCAAAATGTCTAGAGAAGAAATGAATGATGAATCCTGCCTGGGGGCGCATCAAGGCTGTGCCCCCAGTGCACAGACATGCCCCCTGGGCTGGCGTGTTTCACACCCTCCCAGCCCTGCCCCCTCCCCCCATTCAACCACATACCCTGCATGGTGGGTGGTTTCTGTCTAGATGTTTCTTTTTCTTTCTTTCTTTCTTTCTTTCTTTCTTTCTTTCTTTCTTTCTTTCTTATTTTTCTTATAATTTTGCATTTGGGGGTCACACCTGGCAATGCTCAGGGCATACTCCTGGCTCTGCATTTAGGAATCACTCCTGCAGGTGCTCGGGGGACCATATGGGATGCCAGAGGTCGAATATGGGTGGGCCGCATGCAAGGCAAACACTCTCCCCACTGTACTATTGCTCCAGCCCCCACTCTCTGCTCATGTTTGTGTGTGCTCCTGACTCTGGCCATTGGCTTTGTCTGGGCTGGAATCTCAGAGAGTTTGCCGGAGGTTTGTATGTTTGTGATGTGTGTAGGATATATATGTTTGTGTGGGGTGTGTGTTTGTGTGGGTATGTAGTTGTGTGGAGTATTTGTGTGATGTATTGTGTAGATGTGTGTATATATTTGTGTGTGTTGTGTGTGGTATGTATGATGTGTGTGTTGTGTGTAGGGTGTGTATGTTTGTGTGATGTATGTTTTGTGTGTGGTATGCGTATTGTGTTGTATGTGTGGTGTGTGGTATATTGTGTATATATGTGTGGTGTCTGTAGTATGTGATGTATGTCTGGTGTGTTGTGTGTGAGGTATCTGGTGTATAGTGTGTGTTGTGTGTGGTTTGTGTGTGTTGCATGGGGGGTGCTGTGGAGCTTTTGCTAAGGAACATGGGAGGGAAGGGCAAAGGGTGGGAGTACCCCTTTGAATTCAGGGCCTGGATTTACCCCAACATCCATGATGACCCAAACAAGGCCTCAGTTTCCCTTTCATGAAGGAGACCCCAGCAGGGTGGGGGTGTCAGGAGTGGACCCCTGAAGGCCTACAGCATCTTCACGGTTTGCCTTTGCAGGAGGAGCAGCTGCGTTCTCATGAGAATAAGCTGAAGCAGGTGACTGCAGAGCTGGCTGAGCACAGGGGCCAGCCCCTGGAGAGGGGCGTCAAGTCCAAGGAGGCGGAGGAGAGCCGGCTAAAGGAGCATTACCTCACGTTTGAGGTGAGTGCTGGGGGAGCCACGACCCTCTCTGTCACCGAAGTCCCAGCCGGACCCTTAGTCAGGCCCTGTGGCTTTGGGGATTCCTGTGAGGCATGGGCAGCCTCCTGCTGGCCCATCTGCACAGGGCAGTGGGCAGTGGTTTATCAAGTAGCTGTGCCCACACATGTTCCTCCCGGAGAACCGCCAGGCGCCCCTGTGCAGGGAGGCGAGCTGTTCAGGCCCAGGCCCCACTGGCTCTGAGCCCTGGGCTAAGTGTGTAATCAGTACAGTCCAGCGGAGCCACGTGATGAACGGGAAGCGTGTGCTGTCAAACGGATGCAGCGGGGGCCTCCAGACAGAGAGCTGCTTCTCCCAGTCATGGGGAGTCTTGAATTGTAGCTCTCTGGGCTCTTGGGCAGGAATCTTCTAGTGCATGAGTGAGTTCATTCTGGGAGGTGGGTGAGCGGGAGATGGGTCAACAGTTCTGGAAGTTGAGCAGCAGAATGAGTGACAGTGGGACCCATGGGGTCTCCTGGGCACAGCTGCTGGTATGAACAGGCGCAGCAGAGCTGACAGTGCTGTCAGGGTTGTGCCTGGCCTGACCAGCCTCTAAGACATGGACTAGGTGCCTTCTGGGGGGGGGGGGGCTGTTGCTTGTCCACTTCACCCAGGAGCACCGTCTGTCCTTCTCCCCCCTTTCTAAGCCCTTTCCTCACCTTCTCCAAAGGCCCCACTTCTTCGCTATCTTTACAGCCATGCCCTGACCCCAGTCTCTCTCCTCCCTCATGCTTGTTACTCAGCCGGCACAGCAGGTCCTCTCTCCTCCCTGGGCTTCCTCTGCGTACCCACTGCCCCTGCCCAGAACCCCGATTCTCCCCAGGCAAATGGGGCTGGTAGACATTGCCTTGGTCCGGTGGACAGGGATTCCACTGACCTGCACTTGAGGGAGACAGGCAGACAGACTCAGCAGGAAGTCACCAGCCTCAGTCTCTGGGTTTCTATGATTTCTGGGCGAATGTTCGAGGCAGTGTGGTGGTGGTGGTGGTGGTGGGGGTGGGGGTAGTGTCCCCAGGGGAGGAATGAGAGCAGAAAGTTCCACAGATTTGGGGTCTTCTTAGCACCACTCCCCCTCCCTGAGTGCGTGGTTGAAGCAGCACTTACCCATGTCAGTTGTTGGAGTGGGGTAAGGGCTGGGACCCTCATTCTGGGCGTGGGGGCCTTTGTCCCCATTTCCCATTTTGGGAATTTAAGGCTTAGAAAGGTTGGGTCTCTTGCGTAGTGAAATAGTTAAGAAGTGCAGGATCCAGCCTGCCCTTCACACCCTGCTCTCCCTTGAACATGGGTCTCCCTTGCTTGTCTCTCTGTTTTCGCCCGCCTGGCTCCACTCTATCTTGCTTGTCTCTATGTCTCTTTGTCGGCCTATTTCCACTCTAGAGAAGCCCGTGTTCTCTCTGCAACACATTTTGCCTCTTTCTCCCCTCTTGCATCTTTTTCTTTCTTTCTTTCTTTCTTTCTTTCTTTCTTTCTTTCTTTCTTTCTCTCTCTCTCTCTCTCTCTCTCTTTCTTTCTTTCTTTCTTTCTTTCTTTCTTTCTGGTTTTGTTTGTTTTTTGGGCCATATCTGGAGGTGCTCAGGGTTTTTATACTCATGGCTCTGCACTTGGGAATTACTTCTGATGGTACACGAGGGACCATATGGGATGCTAGAGATCGAACCTGAATTGGCTGCATGCAAGGCAAGAGGCTTCCATGCTGCAGTAGCTCTCCAGCCCCTCTTACATTTTTCTAAGCAACTTTCATTCAGTAGCAAACATTTTGCTTCACACACACACATACCTACACATACACACCTACACACGCGCGCACACACACACACACACACACACACACACACACACACACACACAAAGTGCTCCTCCAGGGATTGCTTGAGGTTCCAGTGTTCTGCCCTTTCTCACTTCCACTGACTTCCCTGTGGGGTGGAGGGAGGTGAACCCCCCCGCCCCATGGCCTCTTCCCTTTGCAGTGCGGGGACAGAATAGGGCCTGTAACCCACGGTCTGTAACCCACCCCACTCTGTGGCCCAGAGCCAAGGCCCCAGCCACTGTCAAGACCCCTTCTGAGTATTTACCAGCTGCAGCTTTTAATAGCTCATTCCTGTTCCTCCTCATTCCTTCTATAGCCTTGGATATTAGTGGATATTTTGTTCTCACTCATCTGTTAGATTGTTTTGTTTGTTTGGATATCATATCCAGAAGTGCTCAGGGCTTACTCAGGACTTACTTGCTCTGGTCCCCTGTGATAGGTTTGAAAAGTGATGTCTGTGAGCTGGAGAGCTAGTACAGCAGGGAGGGAGCTGGCCTTGCAATCAGCTGACCTGGGTTTCATCCCTGTCACCGAATATGATCCCCTGAGTATCATCAGGAGTAGTTCCTGAGTGCAGAGCCAGAGGTAACCCCTGAGAATCACTGGGTATAGCACCAAACCTTCTCTTCCCCCCCAAAAATTGGCATCTCAGTACTATCTTAATTTTGATGAAAATATTTTGAAAAATTGTAATAAAATACATATAGCATGATGTTGATCATTTGACCATTCTTAAATGCGTTGTTCTATAGTGTTACTATTCACTTTATTGTTTAAGCTCTAGAACCTTTTTATCTTTACACATAGAAACTCTACACCCATTAAACAGTGACTCCTCAATCCTCCCCTTCCCTGGGCCAGATCTGGACAGTGACAGTTCTATTTCTTCCCCTCCCCCTTATTTATTTATTTAATTTTTTAATTGAGTCACCATGAGATACACAGTTACAAAGTTTTCATGATTGGGTTTTAGTCATACAATGTTTCAATATCCATTCTTCCACCAGTGTACATTTTCCACCACCAATGTTTCCAGTATCTGTCTTACCATTATCCCCCAGCCTGCCTCTATGGGGCACTTCTATTCTTTTCTCACTCTTGCTGTCTCTCCTTTTGAACATTTTGGTTTGCAATACAGATTCTGAGAGGTCATTATGTTTAGTCCTTCACCCTCTTTCAGCACACATCTCCCATCTATAGCGATCCCTTCTAACCATCATTGTCATAGTGGTCCCTTCTCTATCCCAACTACCCTTTCCCCCAGCAATTGAGGCAGGCTTCCAACTGTGGACCAATCCTCCTGGTCTTTGTTTCTTCTGTCCTTAGGTGTTAGTCTCATATTATGTTTTTTTTTTATATCCCACAAATGAATGCAGTCATTCTATTTATGTTCCTCTTCTTCTGACTCCTTTTACTCAACATGATAATTTCCATCCATCCACTTAAGCGAATTTCATGAGTTCATTTTTTAACAACTGTATAGTATTCCATTGTGTAGATCTACCATAGTTTTGTTTCTTTTTTGCTTTTTTTTTTTTTTTTTTTTACTTTTACACCTAGCGATGCTCAGGGGTTACTCCTGGCTCATGCACTCAGGAATTACTCCTGGCTGTGCCGGGGGACCATATGGGATGCTGGGAATTGAACCAGGGTAAGTTGCGTGCAAGGCAAACGCCTTACCTGCTGTGCTATCGCTCCAGCCCCTACCATAGTTTTTTTAACCATTAATTGGTTTTGGGCACTCAGTTTGCTTCCAGATTTTGCTATTGATCAGTACTACAATGAAAATACAAGTGTAGATATCATTTCTGCTGTGTGTATTTGCATCCCTGGAGTATATTGCCAGAAGTGGTATTACTGGATCATATGGAAGCTCAATTTTTGAGGAATACCCATATTGTTTTCCAAAAAGGCTGGGCCAGTCAGCATTCCCACCGAAAATGAATGTCAGTTTTCTTTCCTGAATCTGTGCCAACACTGTTTTTTCTTGTTCTTTTTAATGTATGCCAGTCTCTGTGCTGTAAGGTGATATCTCATTGTTGTTTGGATTTGCATCTCCCTGATGATTAGTGATGTAGAGCATTTTTTCATGTGCCTTTTGGCCACTTGTATTTTTTTTTGAGGAAGTTTCTGTTCCTTTCTTTTCTCCATATTTTGATGGGATTGGAGATTTTTTTCTTGTAAAGTTGTATCAGTGCTTTATATATCTTGGATATTAACCACTTATCTGATGGGTATTGGTAAATAATTTATCCCATCCTGTGCGTTGTCTCTGTATCTTGGTTATGTTTTCTTTGAGGTATAGAAGTTTCTTATTTTAATGTAGACCCATTTGTTTATCTTTGCTTCCACTTGCTTGGTCAGTTGTACTTCATTTTAAAAAATGCCTTTAGCTTTAATGTCTTGGAGGGACATTTTTTACTCCGTATTCCTTATGGATTCAGATCTGATATTGAGGTCTTTAATCCATCTTGATCTGTTCTGACTTTTTTGTGCCTGGCATTAGAGAGGTCTTTTTTTTTTTTTTTTGAGTTATTAAGTTATTGAGTTTTTTTTTTTTTTTTGCACGTAGCTGCTCAGTTTTCCCAGCACCACTTGTTGAAGAGGTTTTCCTTGCTCCACTTCATATTTCTTGCTCATTTATCAAAGATTAAGTGATCATATATTTGAGGGTTTGTATCAGGATATTCAACTCTATTCCTTGGCCTATGGGTCTGTCTCTATTGCAATATCGTGCTGTTTTAATTAATACTGCTTTGTAGTACAGTTTGAAGTTGGAAAAGGTGATGATTCCTATCTTCTTTTTCCCAAGGATTGCTTTCGCTATTTGTGGGGATAAAACCATATGAATTTAGAAATGTTTGATCTGTTTCTCTGAGAAATGTCATGAGTATCCTTATAGGGACCACATTGAATCTGTATAATGCTTTGGGAAGTATTGTCATATTGACAATCTTCCCAATCCATGAGCAGGGTATGCATCTCTATTTCCCCATGTCCTTTTTTATTTCTTGAAGTAGTGTTTTGTAGTTTTCTTTGTACAGGTCCTTCACGTCTTTAGTTAGGCTAATTCTGAGGTATTTGATTTTCTGAAGGCACAATTGTGAATGGGATTGCTTCATAAATATCTCTTTCTTCTCTTTCATTATTTGTATATAGGAAAGACTTGACTTTTGGGTATTGATTTTGTAAACTGACACTTTACTATACAAACGTATTGTTCCTAGATTTTTTTTTTAGAATCTTTAGAATTTTTTTAGTATGTCATCTGCAAATAGGGATTGCTTGACTTCTTCCTTTCCTATTTGGATGCCCTTGGAATCATTTTCTTTCCTAACTGCTGTACTTAATAGAAGTGGTGAGAGTGGACAACCTTGTCTTGTCCCCGATCTTAGAGGAAGACATTAAGTTTTTCCCCATTGAGAATAATGCTTTCTGTAGGCTTGGGGTAGATGGCTTTGACTATATTGAGAAAAGTTCCTTCAACTTCCATTTTGTTGAGAGTTTTTATAATAAATGACTGCTGGATCTTGTCAAGTGCTTTCTCTGCATCTATTGATATGACCATATGATTTTATGATTGTATGCAATCATCCCCTTTATTTAATCACCATGGGGGGGGTGGAGAATGCACTGGGAAACACATGTCAGTGCTCTGGGACCATGTGGCACAGAGGTGAGCCTGGGTCTCGCCCTCTCAGCCCAGGCACTCCTGCCCTTTATTCAGACCTTTTAATTTGTTTTTTGGGGGGCTATACCCAGTGGTGCTCAAGGCCTACTTTGGCTTTTAAATATCTAATTCACTGAAGCTCAAATATAACATGATAGTAGTAGAAGCATGTGTGGGGGGGATGAGAGGGGAACAGGCACATAAGTTATTAATAAATGTTTGTAAAAATGAACTAATAGGTGCTAGTTTTAGGACCTTACCAAAATCAAGGTAAGGTTCTCTGGATAATACATTAATTCTGGATCTTCAAGGCAAAGATAGAGGAAATATCAGGCACAGATATCAGAAAATAGTTCAACACTTCTTTTAGTGCATCTTTATTCTCTGCCAAAACCAAAATTAAATCATCTTGGCATGGTCAGTTCTGGCCTTTGCTGGTATGGCTTCTCCCTACCTGCAAGTATCCTGTCCCTTCCTCTGATGTATGCCATCATCTGTACCTTTCTTTTTTTTTTAACTGTGCCTATTGTTTACTGGATTATTTATTTCCTTTTTCTATTGATGTGTTAGAGCTCTCTGAATGTCATGGGATTTAGTCTTTGGTCATAAAATATACTACACTACACTTGATCTTAGCCAAAAGGCCGAGAAGCGATGGCAAGCTACCGAGAGTATTCGATATGCCAGACACAGTAACAACAAAGTCTCCAATGGAGACGTTACTGGGCCCGCTCGAGCAAATCGATGATCAACGGGAGGGCCTTTACCTTTACCTTTTACCATAAAATATACATGTATTGTTATTATTATTATTATTATTTTGCTTCTGTTGTTGGTGTTTTGACTTTGTATTTTGGCCTTTTTCTATCCTTTCCTCCAGAAAAGCCGTTATGAGACCTACATCCACCTCCTGGCTGTGAAAATCAAAGTGGGCTCAGATGACTTGGAGCGGATCGAGGCCCGACTGGCCACTCTTGAAGGGGATGACCCTTCTCTGCGCAAGACACATTCAAGCCCGGCCCTCAGCCAGGGCCATGGACCTGCGGCTGGCAGCAAAGCTGGGAAGGACAACCAGGGATCTGACACCTAGCTGGCACGGCTGGGCAGGCCCCAAGGCTGGCAAATGCCCCCAGTGGGGTCACTGAGCACAATGCAGTCAGGGGCCACTCTGCATACATAGTTGAAGGGCAGGTGGAGGAGTGTGGAAGGTCCCAGGGGTCCAGGAGTTGGAGAGGCTATTCATGGTATTGATCTTGATCCTGGGGCTCCTCTGGGCCACAGCCTCTTCCCCCAGCCCTGGTGTTCCCTACACCATGGAGCATCATTTTGTAGTGCAGTATGTAGGTGCCCTAGATACCAGGTAACTGGAGGATCCTGCAAGGAGTTTACTTCCCACACTGCTCCTTACAGGACAGTTCTCCTTGTTCTGAGGATAGCACCAACATCGGACCCCAACCTGTTCTTTCTCCTCTTGCTGAGCCAAGCAGTGGGGCTGCAGATCATCAGCACGGCTCTCTCCTCCCTCCATCCTTCAGCCTCTAGAACTTGGACCTGGGCCTGCTCGCTTGGTGCCATGCTCTCGTCAGGGCCCGCCTCACCTTCCATTCATCAAGGGCCCTGCTAGTGGCCTTTCCATGGACATAGATGTACAGATGGAACAATGGCATACTTAAGAAACCCCGTAAAGGTGGGGTCAGAACCTGCTACCAGATAGAGGCCAGAACAAGAGGAAGGAATAGGCCATTTCAGCTCTCTGCCTGTTTGTGAGGAGGGCTGCAGTCTGTCCTCTTGTGACGCTGACACTCCAGAGGAAGGCGGGCACCATCTGACCTCCTCTGATCCCACTGTCCCTCTTCCAGCTCACTTGTGACTCATACATGCTCTGACAGTTGATGCTTTGGAGTAATTGCAGTGCGTGTGCGCACCACCCACCTGTGCCACGGGCAGCCAAGCTCTGAGGAAGATGGGGCCAAGGCCTCATTTCTCTTTTGGTCTCTCTTGGTGCTGCCAGGTCTCTGCACTCTAGAGGTGGCCTCTTGTACAGATCTACTGCCACAGGAACAGAAGACACTCTGCCTTGCAAATAGCCACTTCTCAACGGGCCCAAAGATATTTGGTGAGGGAAGCTTATGGTAGCTATTAGCTCTTGGTCTTGGGAAAAGGTGGAAGGACGGATTGCAGATCCTTTTTGAGGTGGATGTTTTCTTTCCCTTCTAGTGTCTCAGAAACACTTAAGGACATGTCTGAGAAGAACAGAGAGACTTGCTGTGTGTGATGCTTGCAGACCAGTGTCCGTTAAAGCCAGCATTCCTTGTGCGAACAAGTGGTGCTGACGTTGGCAGCACCACACATCACAATCATGATGAGAAAATCTTTTCTGCTTTGAGATAGATTTCTGTGGTGTGGTCAGCGATTCAGCCTCGGCGGTGACGTGTTTAGTGAAGATATGTCAGCCTTGCAACTAAGTTCTCCACAATTACAAACCCACTCATATTTGATGTGGCAAAGGCGAGCCTGAGGGGAGATGTCGTGACTTAAATCCAGATGATGTGATTCAGATCAACTTGAGTGGGTTTTATACCCAACTATCTAGACCCTTCGTTTTGCTGAGGGGCAGGAAATGTTCACTTAGATGAAATTGAAAGAGTAATGTGGTGACCTAAATGAGCTGGACTTGCTCCTTTTGAGTTTGGAGGTCAGCATCCTGCCCTCCGGCTCTCGAGGGGGTGAGAGGAAGCAGAGGGGCAGGTGGAATCTGCTGCAAACTGATTGCTTCCCTGAGCACTAGCTGTGCCTCCCAGCAGTAAAAAGAAAAAAAAATTTTTAGTTCATTTATTAATTGTATAATTATTTATTGTAAATTATATACATGTACTACTGTACTAAAATATTATGTACATTATAAAACATACACAAAAATAGAAATTTAAAAAAGATGAGATGAAAATAAATCTAAAAGTTCTAATTTTTTTTTTTCCTGCATTCTAAATGGACCATCATGTTCCTCCTACAACCTCTGCCCCTCATATGCCCATTTTCCAGGACTGCCCTTCACGGGGGCTGGATGACAGCAGAAGAGATGCAGTAATTGGTGGGAGCCACAGGAGTTCCTGGGGAGTGGCCTCAGGCTCTGGGGCTGACCCGGGATGGCGACTGGCATCTCTTGAGCCTCCACCCTCTATTCAGTGAAGTCAGCTGTGCTGGGTTCTTGTGGGTACTGTGAGGGGATAAGGACTGGGCCAGTTTGCTGTCCACATGGGGCTCACAGTCTAGTGGGGAAGGGACAGGAGTCACCATTACCTTAAGGGCCACTGGGAGGGCTGGGGAGGAGCCAGAAATGACCTGGCTAAAAGAGGGTGTTTTTGGAGTTGGGGACAAAGGCTCCACCTCAGGGTGCCTGAATCTGAGGGGGCAGGGTGGTGGGAGGGAAGTCACTTAACTTGTGACTAAAAATGCCCCAAGGCAGCAAGAATTCTGAGAGGCTGACTAGAGAAGGGGCTCCAGCCCCATTCTCACCTGTGGGTGATGGGACTTGCTGGACTAGAGTCGCAGGACTAAAGTTCACTTCTGACTTGATACTCTCAGCCTGAAGCTCAGAATTCTGAACAGATAATCAAAGTACCAAATGGGGTCATGACAAAATGAATAACTGCATCAAGTGCTCATTTAGAATTATTCGGGGGTGACATATTTTGTTGGGGTCATGACAAGTTTCTGACTGGAACTTTAGAAGGTAACAGCTCAGAGCCTTGGAAATGGGGCAAAGGAAGACGCAAAGCTATGTCATGAGGTCAGCGGATTCACCAAGAAGTCACTCAGAATTACTCGGGGTCACACAGAGGTCAGAAGGGAGAGGAATTACTGGCTCTTGAAAAAATATCTAAAGCCAACATTAAACTCAGCCAATATTGGATAAAGTCATCAGTTGGGGGCCGGGAAAGGCCAGGACTTTGCAAGTTAATATACTATTTAGTTCATTGTTTTTCCTTGTTTCTTTATAACATACTTTTTTCCAGTCCCCCCAACAATGAATACAACTTTAGTTCTTTTCTCCATCACCTTCCTTTCATCCAGGTTTTGCCAAGCTGTGATTCAAGAATGCAAGGCCCAGCCTACCGTCATCACCATCACCAAATTAACCATTAACAAGTATCATGTGCCAGAAACAACACTGGGTGCTTTATATATATAACTCTCTAAAGCAGCCTTTTGAGGTAGGTAATAGCATCACCACTGAGCAGCTGAGGAAACCAGGGCCTAGAGCTGTCACGGCCCATGCCAGCAGGAGCTGGGATTTGAACCTAGGCCCTGTGGCTACCTGAGCCCTCTCAAGCCTGAGCCTTTCAGCCCCTCTCGTGACTCTCCAAGCCGAGCACACATCCTGGGGTAGCTTGGGCACAGACGAGCGCGCACTCACACACACCCCAATCACCCAAGCTCTTTGGCTAGCAGACACCCTCATGTCTGGCTGGAACTTAATGGCTCCTGGCACTGGGCGTGGGTTAATAATCAATGAGGGAAAAGGCTTCTTAACCCTGGACCTCCATATGCTTCCTCCACGCCTGAAATCTTCATCAGGTTGAGACAGGCCCTGGCTCTGAGGGGGCACAGAGTCGGGGAAAGCGTAATACTCCGTGGGCTGACAAGCCGCAGCAGCTGTGGTCCTTCTGGCAGCCGAGGTTACCCATTATGCCACCTTGCATGTCCAGACTTTGCCTGTGACATGCCTGAGGCCCCAAGGGTCATCTTAACCCAGTACCAACTGCACAACCCTTCCCTCCTCACCCACCTAGGCCCGGAAACTGTTGCCTCAGTTTGGCCCCTGCAGCTCCAGGCCAGGAACTGGGCCAGGGTTCTGAGGCTGAGCTCAAAGCAGAGTCATTTGCGTCAGTCCCTTGGCCTGGTTCCCCGGGAGCCAGGGGGGACACCTTGTGAATGTTCTTGGAAGCAGGAGGAGGCTTGGAGCCTGTCCTGGGAGCTGGAGCCAAGGAGATGGGGGTTGGGGGGCTGGGAGGGCCTGACCTTCTTCATCCTCCACGCCATCAACTAGCTCTCGGGGCCCTGCTGCCTTCCCTCCTCACCTGGGGGCTCGGCACACAGAGTCAAACATACGTGATTTCTGAGTTTATTTATCATATAAAAACGTTCAAGTGTCAACAGTCAGGAGTGTGGACATTTCAGGGCAGGGTTCCCATTTCTTTGGGAGTTTTTTTTTAAACAATGACCTTTTTGACAAATCTATGTGGACCCAGTTTTGGGGGACAGGACTGGAGGGGGAGTGGAGTTGGGGGTGGGTTGGGGGCTGGGAGTAGGGCTGTGAAAAGGAAATGGCGTTTATTGCTAAAAAGGGGAGTCAAATACACTGTCCAGTGGCTCTTCTTGGTCCCAGCGTGACCATGCATCCAATCTAAAGAATCTGAAATGCAAAGGACATGCAGGCGTACAATAGAAAAGACGACCTGTAAACGGAGGTGCTGCAGACAGGGACGCCCTGGAGGCCGTGGGGGAGCCGCGCAGGGGCGTGGGCACGGGGCAACGGGCTATTGGGAAGCGACTTTCTTGGTATCCCCTCCCATGCCAGCAGTGAGAAGCAGGGTGCCTCTCCCCTTCGGGATGCTGTGGCTGAGCTTTGGTCTCCCCCAGGATGTGGCTTGGCCCCCGTCTAGTTCAAGCGCAGGATCCCCATCTTCTACCCAGGGGACCCAAAACTCCAAAGAGCTGGCAAAAGGGCTAAGCTACTCGGTCCAGTTCCTGGCTGGGGCCAACCCCTCATCTCCCCCACCAGAACCCCCAAGCCTCCTCTTAGCTGGCTGTGTCCCTCCCTCGCCGCACCCCGACTTCTCTCCAGGAGCTCCAGGTTAGCGTACAGCAAAAGGCACCACAATATAGGTTTCTATTAAAGAGTCAAAAAAATTGGCTCATCTCTTTTTTTTTGTTGTTTCTTTTTTTTTTCCGAAGCTGTAAATCAGGATGTTACATATAAATAGTTTCCCTATAAAAACGTCTTTGCCGTTAGCTAGTATGACAATTTTTGCTAAAATGAAAATAAAACATTTTTTGTTATACCTTTTCCTTTTATAGAAAATAAAAATATTTTTATTTCTGTTTCTCCTCCTCTCTTTCTCTCGCTCTCTCTCTCTTTCCAGTAGGTGGTCTCTGTTCTCCTTCGAGACAGTGGGGCGGAGGGGGCGGCGGCAGGGCCCTAGAGGGGCGCCGAGTCCTGCGGGGCGCGCGGGGGCGGCCCGCGGCTGTGTCTGCTGCTGCCGGCGCGCGCGCTGTGACTGTCCAGCGAGTAGTAAGTCCTGCTGTCGCCCGCGGAGCCCAGCGGCGGCGAGTCCGAGCGCAGCGCGTCGTGGGCCGCGCGCAGGCCGAGGAACGGCGTGCTCTCGGCCGCCAGCGCCCCGTCCGCGTCGTCCGCGTCCTCGTCGGACGCCGAGCCGCCCCCCGAGCCGCTGCTCAGCGATAGCGAGTCCCGCGCGGCCCGAGCGCGCTGCGCCGCCAACCCGTTGAGCCGCGAGCGGCGCCAGCGCCGGGGCCCCGCCGACGTCCTGCGGGACGCACCGCGGGCGCGCGGGCGCGGCGGCGGCGGCGGCGCGCACTCCTGCGTGGTCTCGTACTCGTCGTCCTCAGGGATGCGGAAGGGGCTGGCGGGCAGGCTGCCCAGGCTGCCGCCCAGCGCGCACGCCCCGCGCCGCGGGCCCGGACCCCCCGGCGGCGCGGGGTAGTAGTAGCTGTCGTAGCTGCGCTGCATGTCCGCGCTGGGCCCCGGCGGCGGCGCCGCGTGCCGCAGGAGCGGCTGCTGCTCGGCCAGCCGGTAGCTGATAGGTGCGGCCGGGGGCAGCGACACGGCGTGCGCCGAGTTGGGGGACGTGATCTCGAAAGTGGGTACCTGCGTGGCCAGCGAGTAGTGGAAGTCCACCGGGGAGAGGCGCGCGGGCGTGGTCAGCGCCGACACGTACCTGCGGAAGAGGGGGCTCAGGAGGGCGGGGAAGACCCCGGGCGTCGGCCCGAGAGCCCCCCCGCCGGGTGCCACTCCCGCCATCCCCGCCAGCTCCCTTCCTCTGCTCTGGCACCGGCCCTCCCGGCCCAGGCCTCCGCAGGGAGTGGGGGGCCTGGCCCCCCGATGACTCCTGCCTCTTCCTGCCTCCGGGCGGCCACTGCGCGGGGCCCTGTGGTGGCGTTTGGATCCCGGGGCCTGGCGGCTGATCCTGCGGGGGCCCGAGGCCCCCCGCGCACCGATGAGTCTCCTCGCGGACAACCTCCCCTCCCACGCTCCAGGCCGCTCCGTCTTGGTGTCTTTCTGTGCCTGCTGGGACAAGGGGCCTCTAGGTGACGCCAGGGCAGGGCAACCCTGTACCCGGGAAAGCCCTTGGGTTCCTAATGCCTCGGGGTGGTTATCTACACACATCCCCTTCCTCTGCAGAAAAGTTTTGGACGTGAGACGGGGACTGAGGGGCATGGACGTGGGCCAGGCGCTGACCTCTCGCTGTGCGGCGAGTCCCGCAGCGAGTCGATGGAGTCGTGGTAGGGCGGTGCCGCGGCTCTGCGCTGCTCCTCCAGGCTGTAGGCTGCGGCCCGCCGTGCCCGCGCCTCCACGCACGCGGGGCTGTTGCACTTGCTGGTGCCCACGGATGACAGCATGATGCCTGACTGGGAGTCCGAGGTCAGGCTCTCGGAGCGCTCCAGGCTCCATGTGTGGCTCTCATGCCTGGGTGGGGGAAGGTGAGGGTTCAGGAAGGGCCCCGGGTGGCCCCCCAACGCCCCCCTTGCGGGCTTTCAGGTGCCCACCCCTGCAGTACTGCAAAAGCCCACCCCCTGGTGAGCCAGATAAAGGGGGCTGGGGTGCTGTGTGTGTGTGGGGGGGAGCTGCTGAAAGCAAGAGGTCTTACCCACCACCTCCCACATCTGGGAAGCTTCTGTGCCCTATCTGAAGAGCACAGTCCCCAAGGTGCTAGTCTGTGGGTGCCCTACCGACTCTGTGGTGGTCCCAGGGAAGAGCAGGCCCCTGGATGTGCCTTTCTGGAGCTGTGTGCATGGGCTTTCCACCCCTGTCCCAAGGAGACCAAGGGGGCCTGGGCTTCATGGGTGCAGGTGACTGTTTGGTGAGGGGCACTTTAAGCCAAATTAATGAGGTCCAAACAAGCATGAGGGGGCCCTCCGATATCCCCCTCTACTTCTGGGGACTGCTTTTCTGGAATAGGGAACTCAGAGCTGTGAGGAGGATCAGAGGGAAACTTTAGCTGCAGGGTCCGTGTGAAGTGCCTGTCCTTATGCCCCCCTCATGGGGACCGTCAAAGCATCACAGCCTGACTGGGGAGTTTCTATGTGGGGTTGGGGGGTGGGGACATGGGAGAGTCAAGGGGCCTCAAGGCTCACCTGTGACTGGAGGTGGGCGTGGCTGTGGAGCAGTGGTGAGAAGGAGAACAGGAGTGGCTTCCCGAGAAGGTGGACTCAGTTTCCCTCCGGATGACATGGTCTGTGGCTGGCACATTCTTGGAGATATACTGGAATGGAGAGAATCAGGCTGGGGTCAGTGACAGGTGACCGCTTGCCCACCAGGAGTGGGCTCCCCTTCTTGGTGTCAGTGGTGGGTTGTTGTTGGGGGCTGGTTAGGGGACTCGGCCCGGGAAGACCACCTGGCCTCCAGCCCTTCCATAAGAAAGTGGGCAGAGTGAAGTTAGTTATCCAGGTGAGCAAGGCCGGCAGGCAGGGCACAGGGTGGGGTGGGCTGATGCCTGCTCTGGCCCATCCTTCAGGGGGCATGGAAAGGCTGGCTTTAAGGGCAGAGGGGCCCGAGAACACTACTCACATCTACCATCTGGATCTCCTCCGGGTCTAGGCGGGGGTGGCTGGGCCCGTTGGCCAAGCTGCGGTTCTGGTGGGCGGGGCACATGTTCTGCCGCAGGTGGTTATGCATCTGCTTCCGCTGTTTTCTGCACAGGGGAAGTTGGGTGAGCCCGCACGCCCCCTAGCTGTGGCTAGGGGAACCACCCACCCCTGGCCTGGTCAGCGGGGTAGTCTCTGGCTCAGCTTGTTGTTGCCCTCAGCCAGGCCCCCATGCACCTTCTATGCTGGAACCCAGCCAGCCTGAACCCCCGGAGAGGCCTGACACCAGAACTCCTCCATGTTCTAGTTTGCCATTCTGGGCACAACACACAGTTCCATTTCTTTATCTAGGGTTAGCTGGGGGTCCTTTACCCAACTCAAGAGCAGAGAGCGTGTTGGGGCCCAGTGCTGGGCCACTCACTTGCTCATGGCTCTTATATTAGGAGTTTTGCTAGGCGCAGGGGCTGTGAGGGACAAGGGACAAGATGGTCCTACCCTGGCGGGTCAGTGAGTCAGCAGGGGAAGTCCATGAGGCCACAAAAACAAGGGAACAAATAAGAGACTTCCAGTTTGGGGGCTGGAGAGATAGCACAGCAGGTAGGGCATTTGCCTTGCACATGGCTGACCTGGGTTCGATTCCCAGCATCCCATATGGTCCCCTGAGCACCACCAGGAGTGATTCCTAGGTGCAGAGTCAGGAGTGACTCCTATGCATCACTGGGTGTGATCCAAAAACAAACAACAACAACAACAACAAAAAGAGACTTTCAGCGTGGTGCTCTGAAGAAAACAAACAGGGTGTCCAAGTGCTCCATGCTTGTGTTTTCAAATGAGCAAAATTGGTTAAGCCCCACCGCACCCCCAACCCTCTTGGTTCCCAGTGACCATTTGTTCAATTGGGGTTGTCTCCTCCCTGGATGTGGCCTCTGCACAGGCCGTGGTGTCCACCTGCAGCCGCTTGCCTCTTGGGCCCTAGCCTAAGGGCCCTGTCAGCATTCCCCCAGCCTGCATCCGAGGCAGGCCCCTGAACTATGCCATGTTGCCCATGCTGGATCTTGTGCCTACAGGTCTGGCCGTGCCCTGTGCCTGGTGCCTGGCAGCCATGGGCTGGAAGTTTGCTGAAGACACAAATAGATGCAAGGGGGGGCAGGGTGGGAGTTCTGAACTGGGGAAATTGCCTTTTCCGCATTCTTGGATTGACCTGCTTGGGTCCAATCTCCAATTTTGGCTTACTGAGCCCCATCCCACCAAACCTCCCCCCAATCTTTCTAGTCCTGGATGTGTCCAGTCCAAAACTGACTGGTCCCCCACTAGGGTCCAGAGATGGGCAGTGAGAGCCTTTCCCCAGCAGGTGAGTCCCCTCCAGACGGTGGTCGTGCTCAGGCCCTTACTCTATACATTGGAAAGGACGAGGTGGGCCCTTCACTCTCACACGCTACATTAGCCTGCCCTGATGCTGGCCCCTGACCCCGGCATCCAAGTTTGACATCTAAGGTCTGATGTGCCACCTGGTGTTCCAGCTGTTTGTTCTCGGTGCTTGGGGGACCATGTGGTACTGGGCTTAAACCTGGACTTTGGCATGAGAAGCATGTGCCCCAGCTCCCAGCTGCCCTCACAGGTTTGTACCCCCACCCCCCGTGTTCCCCCCACCTCTTTATTCATGGCAGCTCCGGTTTGTTGGTGCTGCTCATGCTCCAGGAATAAGGCTGCCCCTCTACACATCTGCCTTCTTGCCCCCCCCTGCAAGGACCTCCCCTCTTCCCCTGGCTGAGGTCCTGCCCATGTTCCTGTTGGTGGCCAGGCTGCCCCTGGGGGTAGATCCTCTCTTCTGAGCCTCCCATCCCAGAGCCTGCCTCAGGACAGAGAAGAGGGGGATGAATGGGGAGAGGGGGTGCTTCCTCCCAACATCTTTGAGGTCCTTCCAGGATCATCCCCACTCTGCAGGTGAGCACTCAGAGCCCCTTCACACGCCTCACACCAATCTGCCCTGGTCACATAGATGGAAACTGGCTTCAAACTCAGATTGAGCCTCTGAGACCGGTGTTCAGAACTGGCTCCATCAGACCTGTGGGTCCGTCTCCTCCATCTCTTGGCCTGTTTCCTATTCTGATGCTCTGGTCCCTCCAGAGACCCTTGAAGGAGCAGCGGGGGCAGAGGAGGGTGTGAGTGGGACGTCGAGGCCAGGACAGGTGGGGTGGGACCCTGTGTTCCAAGGCAGTCTTGGGGGCCCAGCCTCGGTCTCCACTCACTTGGTCTTGCAGTAGGCGACCACGCAGACGATGCCCACGACAAGCAGAGCCACACAGATGCCCGTGATGGTCAGGACACGCTTCTGGTACAGCTCCTCAGCTTCTGCAGAGGTAGGGGGTGTGAGGCACAGGACGAGCGGCGCTGCAGGCACAGTAGTGTGGAGCCCCTGCCTGCCCATGGAGCCTTGGGCTCCCACCTGGCTCCTCCTGCCCACCCCCCTCACCTGCTCCTACACTGACTTTGCCCCAAACCCCAACTCCACTCACCCATGAAATCTGGGCATAAGCAGCTGTCCTGAGCCCCACACCCTGCCCACAGCATGAGGGAAGTGTGGGGGAAGGGAGGTAGATGAGGCATGGTTCTCATAGTCAGCTGGGCAGGAAACCTTGTCCACCCTGTCATGAGCCAGGGGTGGTGGTTGCAAAAGCCCCACTGGGCTGGGGAGTGGTTCCCGTGCACGTGTGGTCCCCAGGCAAAGCCACTGCAGCATTCATGGGGATGTGGTGTGGCATGGTTGTTGCTGGGTCATCTTGCTCAGAGGACAGGGGTGTGGAGGGAGGTTCCTGGACTGGGAGCAGGGATGGGGGACCTGGTTCTCGGTGAGTGGTATCATAGGGCTACAACCCTCCCCCACCCCGCAGCCTGGCGGGGGGGGGGCAGGCTGCAGCCCTGTGATACCAGGCTCCCCACTTCTGCCTGTGCAAGGCCCCAAGCCGCAGTCTCTGCCCTCTCCCCCTGCCATGTCTGAAGAGCAGGCCCCACTCTCACAGATGAGCTGAGCTAGCTGTATCCCCTCCCCACTTCTTGGTGAGTCAGCAACCCTTCTAGAAAAGACAGTAAGAGCCAGGCAGAAGGAAGAGGAGGAGGAAGGTGACAGTGATCTCTGCCCTGCCGACAGGCCTCCTGCATCTCTACCGTCCAGGGGTGCTGGCACAGACCCCTAGTCCTCGGCTGGCCCTCGTGGAATCTCCTGCGGCAAAGGTGGACCCACTAGCTATGCCCAAAGTCGGGAGTTCAGACCCTTCCCCAAACATGCGCACGACACATCACTTGGGAGATGCGCCCCGCAGCTTGCAGGGGTCAGCACACATGCACCCTCCCCCCCTCACATCTCACCCTATTGCCCTCAGCTCTGCTGCACATCGGCCTTTCTCTCCTGTGAGGCCTTTCTGGTCACCTACAGTAGTAGGTGGCCCAGTCCTTGGCCAGGGACTACAGGACTCCTGCATGGAATAACTCTATCACTGGCCCCCTGGCTCTGCTACATCAGGAAAGTTCTAGTTCTGGCTCCTGCTCCAACTTCTCTCCTTGCTCCAGTCTTAGGCCCAAGGGCCATGGCCACTCAGGAGCTTGAATCCAAGCCTGCTGTGCTGTTCCTCGTCTCTGCGACAGCAGCAGGCCTCAGTACCCTCCACGGCTCTTTTTTCTTCTCCCATGTTGTCCTTTTGCTCTCTCCTGAGCAGAGGACACCACTGGCCACTTCCTGTCACTGCCTCCAGCTGTGTCCAGAGACTGTGTCTCCTCTTGACAGCTGATTCCTCTCCCGAGGGCTCCCGGCCCCAACCGCCTCGTCCTCCTTAGTCTCCTGGGATCCTCGGCCCTGGGGTGCCGGCAACCTCCAGCCATCCAACAAGCGCTCTCCAGCCACACCTCCTGGCACTGTCCCAGAGCATCCAGCAGGTTCCAACCCAAGGGCCGTCTCTTGGGATAGGCCTTCCCTGGCTGCCCCAAGAACCTAAACACCAGCAGGCTGACTCTGGGGTCCAGCAGATGCTTTGGGGACCCTACCCTGTCTACTGGCACCCTTTCTGTTCCAGCCAGACAGCTCTCAGCCTCAGTGGAGACCCCTCATGGCATCCCTCCCAGTGGCACCCCTACACCCCCATTCACACACCTCTACAGCTTCACTTGTACACCTGCTCCGTCATGAGCCTTGGACAGGCCACATGGTCGGACACAACCTCGCTCTCCTCCCAAGAGTGACAGTGGCTGAGGGGGTGTACAGGGGCCGGAAGCTGGGAGTCCCCAGACTGCCAGGAGAAGCTGCTATTACTGAGACCTGGCCCTCCATCTGGGGACTAATCCCGCCTTTCACCCCCAAACTGAACCTCAGCATCTCTCCTTCTAAGAGGCATTTGGACCCCTGGTTCTGGACCCCCAATATGGGGCTGAGAGCTGATACTGAGACAACTGTCCTTTCTACCCTGCTGTGGGCACAGTGCCACCCTGCCCTGGCCCTTGCTGGTCTTGCCCACAGAGGCACACGTGTGCTGGCTTGGGAACAGACCTTGGAGGAATGATGGCATCAAGAAGATGGTAGAGCCTGGCAGACACACCAGGGCCTGGGCAGGGACAAGGGACATTGTAGCAACCAGCAGGTGCAGAGTGGATAACCATGGAAGGGGGGCCAGGAAGGCTGACGTAGGGCTGTGGGGCTGTCCTGGCACTGTTAACCGAGGGGCCCACCCATTGGGCTGCATGGGGGCTCAAAGGTCCCCCATGAATCTGGGGGCACTGCTGTAACTGGGGACAATCTGGTCCCCTCCTCTTCAGGAGCTTCCCTGTCTCCCCCCAATTAACGTAATTTATGAGAAAACACCCTGTGGGGGCCAGGGTGCCTTCTGGAAGCATCCCTCTGTTCTTGCTGGAAAGAAAACCAGACATCTAGTACACGGGGGTGGGGGGAGTGGATGGGTCAGAGGCCATGGAAAGGGAGCACAGGCAGCATGGGGTAGGGGGGCGCAGAGAGGCTTCGTACCCTTTAGTTCAAATCCGAGATGCTCTGGCAGTGCAGAAGAGAGGCAGGGCAGGGGTGTGGGGAGGGAGACGAAGTGGGGTGGGGAGAGAGAGAGAAACAGAGAGAGAAATGTTGGTCAGGATTTTGCAGATACCGCGCCAGCCTGTGAGGTGAAAGCAGGTCAGTGGGTGCCCCTCCCCAGCCACCTGAGCTCCTTCCTCAGCACCCTGCCCCCATGAGCCCCCAAGAGGCTTGGAGAGAGAAGTGAAGGGGAGCAGGGGGACTTGGCGGGGGGTGTCTGTGGGCTCACGACCAGGTGGGGGGCACGGGCCGAAGAGTCATTGTTGCCAGGGAGGCAGGGATGTGGGCTGGGAACAGAAGTGACACCACTACTCTTTTCCCCATTGCAGGGCCAGGTCTCTGTCACTCTCCAGCCCTTCCTGGGGACAACTTGCCTGTTTCACGCTCATTCTTGGAGACCTTTTTCTATTCAGGACGAGAATGTCGGGGGGGGGGGGGGTAGGCAGCCCAGACCCCTAGTTCCTGTCCTGCCCCCAGGCCTGGCTGGCCTGCTCCGAGGCTGGCGTGGAGATTCTGAGCTTGAGGGTGAAGGGCAGGGGTGGGCAGAGGAGGTTCCAGGAGGCAAGGGGGGCTGTTCCCCCTTAGACCTCAACAACCCATGGTTAATACCTAGGTTCCATATGTAGCATAGCCCAATCTGTGGCTCAGGAGACAGAGGGGTGAGGGGGCTGCTTGGAAGTCATGCCCTTCCTGTGGTGTCCCCACTGTCCCCACTGTAGTCTTAGGTGGGGGACATAAAGGTGGGCCTGCCGGGATGCCACCCAAGCTGTGTGGGCAGAACAGGTCTCCCGCAGGCTGACCCTGGCACCGTCCTGCCGTGCAACCCCCGCACTGGCTTTCTAGCCTGGCATCTGCTAGGCTAGTGGGTGGGGGTGAGGCGGGTGGGGGGCGAATCTGGCCTGGCCTCTGCCCTGAGCCAGGTGGTGGAATCACTCAGAGCAGCAGAGCCGTGGGGAGATGGTGAGTCCCCACAGCCTTCCGGAAGATACTGCGGCTGTTCACAGCAGCCTGTGCCTAGCCGCAAGCTCCTCCTTCACCCTCGTTCACTGTGTGGATGTGGGCAAATGCTAAGTGCTCTGAGCTGCAGCTGTGTGCAGCTGGGGTGTCGGCAGGCTGGCGGGGGGTGGGGGCAGGCTGGGTCAGCATCCCCACACACACAGCCCAGGAGGGAGATGACCGTGCGCTGTATGCTCACTTCCCGCAGAGGGGAAGCCTGGGGGCCCATCACCCCTGAGCTCCCTCCTACGAAGGATCCAGAGCCTTCGGGGGGGATGGCGGGGTTCCAGTCCCAGCGTCCCAGCTTCCAGCAGAGGGTACAGCTTGGCACACGACCCCTGGTTCTCTCAAACACCTGCTACCTTGAGGCGGGGGAGTCGCCTAGTGGGCTCCTGCCTGACCTGGGGCAAATGGCTGGGCACCTGCCCCCCAGGGCTGCAGACATGGCACAGACTCAGGAAGACTGTGCAGCTCTGAGTGGCTAATCCCAAGGCCCCAGAGCCCCGCGGGCAGCTGGAGAGGCCACTGCTGGCTCTGGCTATGCCCCCAGCCTGACCACAGTGTCTGGGCACCGGGCTGCGGTTCATTGCTGGTCTAGTTGTGTGAGACAAGGAAGCTGGGCCCTGTGGTGCCAGGATGCTTTCCCAAGTCCCCCTCTGGGGAGGGGGGAGGAGACAGGCAGGGAGGCCTTGGGGGAAGCCATGGCTAGGCCTGAGACTGAGCACTGGAGAGGCGAGCAAGGCCGGGCTGGCCAGCTGAGACCACAGCAGGGCTGGGACATCACTCAGGCCCTGGGCAGCCTCTGCTGGCCACTTGCTGTCTGCTCCAGAAAGCAAACAGTCCCGTGTTCACTGGCAGCTGCTCGCCAGAGCCCAGCCACCCTCTGGGTCACAGCCAGGCCTTCTCTTGGACAGAAATGTGAATCTGACCAGTGACCAAGGTGACCTGATATGAACTCTCAACAGGGCCGGCGCCCCGGACACTCTACGTGTTCTTCCTCCAAGACAGGCCCAAGGGATTGTCATGGGGTCCCTCAGCATGTGAGCATGTGTGAAGGTGTGAGTATGTATGCATGCAGGTGTGAGCTCAGGTGTGCACATGAGTGCGTGGAGTGCAGGTGTAAGTGTGTGTGCAGGTATAACTGTGTGTACATGTGTGAGCATGAGTTCTGGTGTGAGCACATGTGTAGGTGTGAGTGCATGTGTGAGCAAGTGTGCAGGTGTGTGTTTGTGTGCACAGCAGTATAAGCATGAGTGCAGGTGTGACTGCATGTATAGGTAAGTGCAGGTGTGAGCATGTATGAATGCAAATGTGTGCAGATGTGAGCATGTGTGTATACAGGTGTGAGTGCAGGTGTGTGTGTGGGTTTGAGTGTGTGTACAGGTGTAGGCATGCATGTAGGTGTGAGCATGTGTGTAGGTGTGAGTGCAGGTGTAAGTTCAGGTATGGGTGCACGTGCATGTGTGAGTGTAGGAATGAGTTCAGGTGTGGGTGTCAGTGCAGGTGTGAGTGCATATGCAGGAGTGGACACATGTGCAGGTGTAAATGTAGACACAAGTGCATGTTTGCAGGTAAGCATGTGTGCAGGTAAGTGCAGGTGTGAGCCGTGTACACATGTGAGCACGATATGCAGGTGTGGGTGCGTGAGTTCTTTATAGCGTGCTTATAGGTGCATGAGTCTAACTCAGAAATTGGGGGGTTTTCAGTAGAAAGAGCAACTCCAAGTGCTCTTGTGGCCCTGGGCTCCATTTCTTTCTTTTTTTCCCATATAGTTCGTCTGCTCTAGAGTCTGCCTGGGTGGAGGGGGAGGGCCAGACCCTGCCGAGGGGGCCCTGGGAGAGACACTCAGCTTCACAGCCCAGGGCAGGCTCCCAGCCAGGCCCTTCATGAGACCTGCAGGCATGATTCACCCTCCCAGCAATACTCAAAGCAGAGGTGTCAGTGTCCTATAGGTGAGGGGTAAACTGAGGCCCAGAGCTAGTAAGTTCAGCGACTGGTGTTTCTATTCAGCCCCATGAAATCCTGGACCTGAACCCTTCAGCCAGCACCTGCCCCCACCTTTCCTGCAGTTATCCATGGAGTGTTGGGCCAAGTGCCAGCAGTGTCATCAGCCTTCACCAGAGGGTGGCAGTGAAATTCTGACCGCAAGGGGCAGGAAGGTCTGGGCTGCATTTGTGTGCTCCTAGGACCCTGCTGGCCCTCCCAGAAGACCAGAACTGAGAACTGAAGCAGCCTTGCAGGCAGAGAAGCCTGGCCGGGGTGTGTTTCAGAGGGTCTGCAGCTCTGGGTGAGGGTGGGTGGGGACTTCCTGTCCAGAACTGTCCTTTCAGCCAGAGGCTGTGGGCCTGAGGTGACAGGGAGGATAGCTGCGGTCTCTGCCTGCGCCTTTGGTCCCCTCTTGGGGTCCCCCTGACCTAGTGTCCTTTTCTGGGGCTGGATCTGACGCTGCAGTTCTTTCTGAACCCCGGAGAATTCTGTTGGGCCGCATGTCCTGTGTGTGGGCTCTGTCCTTATCTCTGAGGCCTCCCACGCTCTATTAAGGGCGAGGGCCTCTGGGTTAACCAGTCCCCCTTCCCTCTGGGCTGACCAGCCCCCTCCCAGGGCTCCTGCTTCCCTCTCCAAGACTTGGCTTATTGGTCCCTTAGAGAGGAAGGAGGGTGGCAGTTTCCAGGCTTTTGTGTTGTGGTCAGCAGAGGGCCCAGAAGGCTCATTTCTCCACCCCGAGACCCAGCCCCCCCAAGCCCTCTAAACCCCTATTCTCTAAGAGTTATTTGGAGAGGGCAGGACTTCTGAGGTCCTGCCCTCAATGTCCAGGCACCACAGCTCAGGTTCTGAATGCCTCAGGGACTCAGCTGGCCTCCCCTGGAGGAGCAGCTGAGGTGGGAGGTGGGTCCAAATGGGTGCTGGAGGGAGGAAGGGATCGGCCCAGGGGGAGTCTGAGGCCCCGGCTGAGGTGCGTCTACTCTCTCCACCGCCACCTGGTGGGGCCCAAAGGAACTGCGTTGTGAAGGATGGGAAGGGAATCAAGTTCCCCATAGAGACTCAGGCCCAAGAGATGTTGGAAAGAGTCACCCATGGTCTCTTGCTTCTTCATCCCTTTTAGCATTCATAGCATCTGCTCCCTCATGAGTGTTTCCATGGCAACCTTGATCCTGGGACATGTTCATCCCCAAATCTCCCCTGTGACCCCAAACCTAAACAAAGCAAACTGTGGCCCAGCCCCAGGACAGGCTTTCTGAGAACGTTTTTCTCATCTCCAACAGACCCGCACACACACCCTGGGGTTCCCACATCCTCCAACATGCCCAGAAGCCAAGGGCTGGGGGGAACGGGGGTAGTGGAGGCAGAAAATGTTTCCCCTCACTCTGGCCGGGCTGCCTGACCCCAGGAGGGGGGAAGAGGCCCACATGTGCTCTGGCTGCTAGGAGGTGTGTGTGTGGGGGGGGGGGGGAGAGGCTGTGCCCTCAGGCCCCTCTAGTCTCAGTAAGCGGGGCTCCGCCCTCCCTCAGGAGGACTGCCAGTCACCAGGGAAGAGAAGAACAGAAGAGAGAGACATACTGGAGAAGTTGACCATTGCGGAGTGTTGACACCTGTCCCCGGTGTATCCTACAGGACACCTACCAAAAGAAAGAAGAGCAGAAAGAGAGAGCCAGGATAGCAAGACACAGGCACTGCAATACCCCGGCACGGCTCCTGCCAGTGCCAGCTGGGCTCCTTGCCACCGTTACCATTTGTACTGGCCTTGCCACTCTGCCCCTTACCTGCAGCCCTGAACTTTAAACCCAAGGATTAGGCCAAAAATGAAAAACAAAGCAAAACAAAACAAAACCAAAAAATAAAAATAAAAAAAGAACTAACAAACCAAAATACAAAAAGAAAAAAAAAAAGAAGAGAGAAACAAAACAGCCAAAGATCAAAACAACCACGCCCTACATGGGGAATGGGGGTGGGGTGGGGGGGACTGCACCCGGAAGCTTTCTAAGGAGCAGGGACTTGTGTTTGTATCTTCAAACATACTTTGCTTAGGATCTGGCATGTACAATCGCAAAGGCAGTTTCTCCAAACATCTCTGTCCGAAGAATCCGTTTGGACATCTGGAGAAGGAAAAGGGGAAAAATCACAGAACAAACTGGCATCATCCGCGAGGCTCAGGTTAGAAATCAAAGTGCACAGTGATGAATGAGAAAACCAAGTCAGGCGCGGGGCACACTCGTTGCTGGAGGGGCTGGAGCCGGGCTGGGTGAGGGGCTTGGACATCCCCTTCCAACTCTGTCTAATAGATGTGGCTCTGAGGTGGCGGGGAGGCAGGGCGGGAGTAAGATGATTTAGGGGAGTGGGTGTGGGGGGGTGGGAGCTTATGGCCAACTGTCCTAAGGGTCACTGAGACCTTCCTCTGATCTCTATATGAGTCCCCTGGGGCAGGCAGGCAGCTGGCAGGGTGCGGGGAACCTCCTGGAACACCAAGTTCTGAGGAGCCGCTCCTTCTAGTCCCTACCCAAGGCTGTTCTCAGGGCCCTGGCAGGTCTCATCCATGAAACAACCCCCAAAAGCTCAGTGGGAGACTCAGGAATGCTTGGTCCCGACTGTGGGATGATGGGCTGGCTGGAGCCGGCTCATCCATGGGCTCCTAGAGGGGCGCTTCTGTGGCCTTCTGAATTCTGGACCTCTCCATGGCCTCCCCCCACAAGTGATCCTGAGAGCTGGGGGACACATCGGCGTGTGAAAGGCCGAGAAGAGCTCTGCAGGAAGAAATGGCTCAGCCTATCCTGTTGTCCCCCACTGGACCTCAGAAGTCATTTCTGAGGACCCTTGGTGAGCTGTTTGGGGTAGGCTTCCCTAGAGCACTAGACCTGGCAGACCTGGGGATGGGGTGGGGGGCAACTGCGAGGCCCGAGCTGGCTGAAGCACGGAAGGAAGGTGGCAAGGACCACAAAGCTTCCTGTGGGGTCCACGTGGGGCCTGCTGCTTGCTTGGCCCTCGGTTCCCCCGCACTGCCTGGCTCTAAGGGCACCGCCCCCCCCATGCTGCCTGTCCAGCCACAGTGTCCCCCGCTTGCTCCTGACCTTGTTCTCAGCTCCAAGGTACACTTCCTTCTGCTTTCCAGCTGCCACCGCCACCCCCGCACCCCCTGGCGCTCCAGTGCGTCCCTGACTAGAGATTCCTGGGAGACTTGCCCGGCCTTGTCCTTGTCTCTGAGTAAGGTCGCCACCTAAGGGCTGGACCCACCTCCCACCCCCCCACTCAGAGCTAGGGCTGCCTCAGCCTCTTCCTTTGGAAGCGAGGGACCATGGCCCACGATCAGTCTTGCCTTACTGACCAAATAGGTCCCTGCTCGGACTGTCCAGGAGACACCCCTGCAGTGAGTGCACCCTTCTTGCTCCCGTGGTGGTGGACACTGGCTGGGGGGACACATAGAAACCTGTGGTCCTCAGTCTGACCTGGGAGAAGGACGTCACTGGGGACCAGAGAGCTGGAGCTTCTCGGGCCTCTATGGTGCTTCCCTCCTGAGTGGCAGGGAGGCCTGGGCGGGGCGTCTGGAGAAATGGGGGCATTGGGGGGTGCTCATGCTGTGGAACAGGGGGCTCCGAGGAGCTGCCAGCAGCAGCTCGTCTCGCTGTCCTTCTCTGATCCCTATCCCACCACCATCCTCCCCGCCAGGAACGTGAAGGCAGCAGCTGAGCCTTCCCAAACGGCATCTTCCTCAGCTTAGAAATGGATGTCCAGCTGGGTGGGGTGGGCCCAAGGGGACCAAGGGGTTATTCAAACAGCGGCATCTTAGGAGTTGGAGGATCAAGACCCTGGGGGTTGACAAAATGACTTTGGGGATCCACAAAGGAACGAGAAAGCGATAGGTTTGAGTGTGTCCAGTGGCTGAGGGGAAATGCCTGTGTGTCTGTGTGGCCAGGAGAGGGGAGGTGGGGGGGTCTCAGGGGCAGGGGTAACCTGAACACCCCTGTTTTCTCCTTAGCCCTGACTGGGGGAGAGTTATGTTCAGGAGGCTGGGGGACACTGGGCATGTCAGTCTACCAACTGGGGTGGGGCTCTGAACTCGGCACAGGGAGATGGCTGGGGGTGGGTGGGACCCCCGTTGGCTTTCAGGGGCACAGAGGAGGGTTAGCAGGAGCGGCACCTCCAGCCGGGCTGGCCCTTGCCCGAACTCTGGCTGTGACGGGGAAAGGTCTGTGCCCAGGGCTGGAGAAGAGCAGGAGCAAGGGGACAGCGAGGAGAGCCCGTGACTGCATCCGGGGTGACCGAGAGCTGGGCCTCTGCCTCTCCGTGTTCCCACCCCACCTCCTGGGCCTCAGTTTCTCCTTTTGGTAGCCTGGGGATAATGCCATGTGTGCTGCCCTCACCCGGGGTGGGAGAGGATGAGGATGAAGGCGCGCCCTGGTGTGCCTGGTGGGGGGCGAAGGTCTCCGGCCTCATGATGGGGGTAGAGATGGGGTGAGGATGAGCAGGCAGATGGGGTGAGGGGTGGGGAGCGGAGGACGGGGGTGAGCAGAGGGGGACATGGAGGATGGTGGTGAGCTAATGGGGGGCATGGAAGATGGGGGTGAGCTGATGGGGGCATGGGGTATGGGGTGAACGGATGGGGGGCGTGGAGGATGGGGTGAGCTGATGGGGGGCATGCCACTGGTATGTGCACAGGGCTGGAGTCTTGTTCTGTCATCATCCCCTGAACCAGTCCCCAAGAGTCACGCACCAAGCGTGCGCCACAAAAACACGGAGAGAGGAGGAGAAAGCACGAGAGGAGGGGCGGGCCCGCGTGGCCCCACAGGAGACAGTTAGCTGGATTTGGACCCCCATTTTCAAATCCCCCTAGGTTTTCTTTCTTTCTTTCTTTTTTTTTTTTTAAACAAAATTCAGCATCAGAGACACTGTTGGTTTGTCTCTGACTTGCAGAAAAACAGGCGGGACGGAGGGTGCCTGCGTCCGGCTCTCCGCAGAGCTCGCACCAATACACAACGACAAGTGCCAGAGACCAGGAAGGCAACTGAGTTCTGTAGAAACTGGAATGAAACTGACCAGGCTAGTTTCATTATCCAAGCTAAGCGGAAATGCAAAAAAATCAAAATAAAAGTAAACAAACAGCACAAATGGTAAGACGTGAGCTCTGCTTCCTAGGTTCTTCCCTTCGTATTCCGTTCAGGTGTCATCAGGCACCCCAAGAGGCCTGCCCCCCTTCCCTCCCGACCCACCCGCTCCCAGAATGGCCACTGGGCTCTGCCCTGCCCCCCGCCCTGCCCTTCTCCAGCACAGCTCTGAGGACCTGCCCTCCTAGCCCTGTCCCTGCCGGGGGTCCCTCTTCCCCAGTGACCTAGTGGGGAGGGGCAGGGACCTTGGTTCTAGGAGGCCGGGCAGTGGCTGACTGAGGGTGGGCTGAGATGGGGAGGTGGGGGGCAGGGCTGGACATCAAGTCTAAGCACTGAATCCCAGTTTCCCTGCTGGGGACACAAGACCTCATCTTCACAGTGGCTCAGGATCTGGAGAGGGGACCTAGGGTCTACAGCCTGGCTGGAAGGGCCCTGGGGAAGCCCATTTTGCTCACCACCACTCCCTCTTCTGCACTAAGCCTGAGCACTGGGGTGCTTGCTGCCCCCCCTCCCCACCATGGACCTTCATGGTCAAGGGGTTCTGGGGCTGGTGAGGAGAAGAGTGGTGTGTGCGCGTGCGCGCGCACGTGTGTGTATGTTTTTTGTGTGTGTGCATGCGTGTTGTGTGTGTGGTGTGTGTATATCTGTGCGTGTGTGTGTGTGTGTGTGTGTGTGTGTGGTTGGTGGGGATCCAGGCTGGGCCATCTCTGTGTGGTATTCCAGAGCCCTTATGCCTTCCCAGATCTACTGCAAAGAGCTTGGAGCACTTCAGGGCGGGAATGCCACCCAGACCGAGTGGCCCTGGAGAGCAAACTTCCTGGGAGCAGGGGGCAGAGTGGCTGGGTCTGGCCTGAGAATGACCTTGGGGTCCTGGTGCTGGTGGGACTGTCCCCTGGGATTTGGAACCAGGAAGCTGGAAAGGGGAGGCAGTAGAAAGGGGTGGAGGAAGCAGTGGGGATGGAGGAACAAATGCTCTGGGGGTGCTCCTGTCCTTGTCTGTGGGGAGGGCAGCCCTTCTCTCAGATGCCCCACCACATCTCTAGGCATTCCTGTACCAGTGCCAGGGGAATGGGGCAGCTTTGGCAGCGTCTCAGGGTCTATGCTTGGAAAAACCCAGGTTGTCAACTAGGCCCGGCTACTCTTCCTCTACTTAGGATCCATACAGAGCCTGCACTGTGCTGCCTGAACCCCCTGATTTCACCACTGCTGTTCAGCCACCAGAGAATCAGTCCCGGGGACCAGCTGCCCAGAGCTCTGACCAGGCTGGAACCAGCTCCTTGCCTCTGCTCCGGGTTCTCTGTTTGTGAGGAGTGCAGGGTTCCTGGCTCCGTGGGGGACCTGCAGGGACCCCCTGTCTGGCTGAGAACAGCTAAGGGGAGGCTGGAGCTTCTCTTCAACCCTGCCCTTCCCCCACTAGGCCATCTGGGGGTGGGGGTTTTCCTGTGCAGGGACCAAAGGGGCTCAGGTGGCCTCTGGGCATCTCTGTGGGGGCCCTGCTGAGTATGGGGTGGGGAACCCCTGGAATAAGAGTCTTTCTCGCCCTACCAGCCCACCAGGGCAGACTCTTGGGTACCAAGGACGTGGGCACCTGTGCCCGGACCGACCCTGCCAGAGTCTTTACTTTGGGGGAGTGTTTGTCAGAACAAAATCTAAAAAGCTGCCAAGAGATGGGGTGGGGTATGTGTGGGAGGAGGGGGTGGGGGAGGGAGAGGGAGAGAGAGAGAGAGAGAGAGAGAGAGACAGAGACAGAGACAGAGACAGAGAGATAGAGACAGGGAGGGAGGAAGGGAAGAGTAGGAAGAGAGAGGGAGAGAGAGGGAGGGAGACAGAGAGAGAGAGAGAGAGAAAGAGAGAGAGAGAGAGAGAGAGAGAGATCCCAGTGCCCAAGGCTGCGATGGATACCCTATATCCCTAATGGGTGCTGGCAGTGGGAGCTGGTGGGGGTAGGGACTGGGAAACTGGTACGGAGGAGGCCCTGAGCCCATGAGAGCATCCTTCTGTCTCCCTGCTTTAGGGAAGGCCTAGAGAGTGGGGTGAGCCTCCCTGTCTATACCCCTTGGGAGCTCCTCGGCCTTGGCTTGAAGCCCACTTTTCCTAGAGCCCTCCACTTCTGCCCAGCCTCTCTTGCCCTAGCCTGACCCCGTACCCGCCCCATAGCCACTTACTTGCAGGAGAGCTGGTTGATGCCCTCGATGTAGTAGCAGACGCCGCCGTTGACACAGTAGGACTTGGCCGTCTCGTTGCACTTCCGGGCATGCCCCGACCAGGAGGAGAGGGTGGTGCTCACTGGGGGCAGGAGAGACAGCTCAGTGACTCCTGCCAGTACCTCCTGCGGGGATGCCTGCTGGCCTGACCGCCACCGAGGCCATGGGCCCACCAACCGCCCGCCCCTCCCCTCCACTCTTTTCCTGCCCATCCTGGTTTTGGGGCTATTTCTGGCAGTGCTCAGGGGCTACTCCTGGCTCCGTGCACAGCTGCCTGGGGCTTCCCGCATGCAAAACCTGCACTAGTCCCTTGGGCCATCTCTCTGGCCACAGGAGGACCACGTGTTCTGTCTCTGCTGGGCAAAAGGTCCACCTGAACACTTCCCTGCCCACTGGGAGCCTCCACTGTGGAGACTTGTGCCCACCAGGGGGACGGACACCCAACGGTGCTGTCTGGAGCTCAGGGTGGATGCAGTGAGGGTGGGAGCTGGGCTTTGAGAGGAACAGGGCCCTTTGGACATGGTCCCCTTCTAAGAGCTGGGAGTGGGGGTGAACCCTAGCCGCCCCTCTGCCCCGATGTGCTGACGTTGCGTCTCCCAGGAAGCCCCATTGGCCACTCCACCCTGAATGCCCAGACTCTTTGTCAACCCCCAGGTAGACCCTCCCTCCTGTTCCCCATCAGCTATTATTTCTTAGAGGGGGCTTCCAAGGTTCTGAACAGCCCTGGCTAGAAAGCTGAAAGCTGGGGCCTCAGGTTGCTGGGGAGAAGGGATGGGGGCCGCGGGGACATAGAAACTGCTTGAGAGCAAGGCTGGGCTTGAAGGTCTCACCCCCAGGACTGAACACCTGACAGATCAGGTTCCCCTGATACAGGAGAACAACAGAAGTGTTGCTCCCCGTGGGCCGACCTCCAGGAGACGGGTTCCAAGGAAAAATTCCTGCACCCAGCCTGGGTTTTTATCCATGCATCCACTGATGCATATCCAGACTGGGTCCTGTTCCCCATGCCTGGGATTCCCACTCAGCAGTAGCCTCCTGACCCAGGTGACCAATGCAGCCAGGGGCTGGTCCTGTCTTCTCAGGAGCACAGATCTCACCCCTCCCCCTCTAATCCACTCCCCCAGAGTCCGGAGCAGCTATGGGGGAGGAGAGTGGGCCCTTGGCGCCCGCAGTGTTTAGACGTGTGGGAGACAGATGGAGCGCGGGGACTGGGACGCCCGGCTGGCCTGTGTGTGTGTCTGAGCACTCGCTGATAAAACCCAGCGGGCAGTGCTGGCTCCCGCTGTCCCTCCACACCACGCCCGCTGCCGCTCTGGCGCCCGGTTCCCCTGTGCCCCCGCCCCCCCCCCCCCCCCACCCCCCACTCCTCTCAGCCTCCAGCCCAGCTGGGGCCCACATGCCTGCAGGGAAATGAGACTGCCTGCTGGTCCCTGCCCTGCTTCTGGGTCAGAAAGACCCAGGGAACGAAGGAAGGGATGGAGCAGAGGAATGTCCGAGGTGACCCTGACTGCAAGTTGTCCTCCTGTTGCTGGGAGGACCCTGGAGGTCGTATATTTTGTTTTTGCTGTTGGGTCATACCCAGCAATGCTCAGGGCTTAGTCCTGGCTCTGCATTCAGGGATCACTCCTGGCGGTACTCAGAGGACCCTATGGGATGCTGGGGATAGAACCCGGGTTGGCTGCATGCAAGGCAAGAGCCCTAACCATTGTACTATTTCTCTGACCATTTCTGTTTTGTTCCGGGTTTGGGGCCACACCCAGCAGTGCTCAGGGTTTTCTCCTGGCTCTGCACTCAGGGATCACTCCTGGTGCACTCTGGGGACCATATTGGTGCCGGGGATTGAACCCGGGTCTGCTGCTCCAGGCCTAACCACTGAACCATCCGGTCTGGCATCTTCACTGTATATTGTTGGTAGCTCTCCAGCTCTGGTGGGCTACTGGGGAGACTCCCCACAAAACAGAGAAGCCCCTCGAAGCTACTCCTCTCTAAGGGCAGGGCCCTGCCGTGTCCCCATCGCCCAGCTCTGAGGCTCTACCCTGCTCTCCCACTTGGCGGGAATTTGAGGTAAAGAGTTTCACTGCCTCCTTGACCGCCACGTTGGGAGGGTGCCTATCATTCCAAACCTGGCTCCCAGCTCTCTATTCCAGTCCGCTGTACCCCTTGGCCTGCTTCATCTCAGAGATGGAGGATTCTCGCCCCACCTCCTTGTAGGGCTCTGTCTGACCCCAGCAGCTACTTGTGACTTTCTCTGACTCCTTCAGCTTTGAGCTCTGACCTCACTGCTTTCCAGAGGCAAAGTGGTCTTGATATGCTGGAAGTGGGGTCACTTTCATGCTCACCCCACTTACGGCTTCTCTGGACATCCTGATTATAGACACAAACTCCTTGCACCACTCAGGTCTGACGGGCCATGCTAGCGTGTGTCCTGTCCCTCCATTTGGACATATTCAGGTCATTTGGCAAGGCCTGGCTCTTTGGGGCCCACTGTGAGGGTCAGTCCGGGGGCCTGCCTGGCCTCCCTCTCTCTCCTCCTAGCAGTGCATGCTCAGACTTGCAGCACGATAAAAAAAAAATCAGAAGCGATTGTTAGCACTTTCTAATCCTTCCCTGAGCATGTGTGAAGAGGTCATGTCTGTTTTGTTCACCACTGAACCCCAACATCTCACAGAGCACCCGACATTGAATAGGCAATTAACAGACACTAGAGTAAGCAAGGAAACGGGATTCTGGGACTTTCATAGGGGCTCACTGAGCATGCGGGGCTGGACATCGGCCTATGTACCACCTCCTATCAAGTTGGCAGTGAGCTACCTCTTGTCACCTCTTGGGAGGACCCTGGTAAAAAAGATGAATAACAAGTGGTGGTGAGGGGACGCTGCACTCTCCTGTGTTGCTGGTGCAAATACAGAATCTCCTAGTAGTTCCTCAAGCAATGAATCATGGCCCCATCATGGGAGCCAGCTACCCAGACAACCTATAACCTGACGAGCGCGTGGGTGTGTGTGTTCTGCGGGCAGCATTCCTAATACTCAGTCACACTCTGGAAACAACTGGAATAACCAACAATCCAAACTGATGAGCAGTAAACAAAAACCATGTTCTACTCACACAGCAGAGTACCCTTCATCCAAGAAAAGAGATGCAGAACTAGCCACAGCACAGAGGGATACTGGAGACACATCACTCTAACCACGGTGGGAGGTCATGGCGGCAGGCAGAGCATCCTGAGTATTGCCAGGGCTTGTCCCAGAGCCCCCTGCATGTTGCTTGAGAGCCTCCCCCCTCCCAAACCAATCAAGTGTGCTAGAGGGAAGAAGCCCAAGGACTGGGTGATTCTGTTGACACAGTTTCCAGAATAGGGGAATCCCTCACAGAAAAAACAGAGGAGTGGGGTGGGGGCAGGAGAAATGGGGACTGGTTTGCTTGTGGGTGGGGTTTCTCTCCAAGATGATCAAGGTATTTTTGAATTAGTGGCTGTAGTCACACAACTTTGAGGCTACACGAACCGCCCTGAACTGTCTTATTTATTTATTTATTTATTTATTCTTGGTGTTTTTGGATCACACCTGACAATGTTCAGGGGTTACCCCTGGCTCTACACTAAAGAATTACTCCTGGCAGTGCTTGGGGGAACCATATGGGATGCTGGGGATCAAACCTGGGTCATGTGCGTACAAGGCAAATGCCCTACCCACTGTACTATTGCTCTGGTCCCTGAACTGTCTACTTAAAAGAACAAATTTAAGGGATCGGAGAGATATATGGGGAGGGTGTTTGCCTTGCACACAACTACCCAGATTCAATCCGCGGCAACCCATACAGTTCTTGAGCACTGCCAGGAGTGATTTCTGAGTGTAGATCCAGGAGTAACCTCTGAGCATTGTCGGGTGTGGCCCAAATCATCATCCCCCACACAAGAAAGGGTGAAATTTCATGCTACATAAATTATACCTTAAAAAACAATCTACAAAAATACCAGGGGAGGCTGGGAGAGTTCACAGGGCCAGTGTGTGGTCTGCAGGTCAGAGCCCAGCTTTTGTTCCCACAAAGTGCTGCAGGGAAACTTTCTCAGCCCTTCAGGTGAGGGAATGGGACCCCTGAGCTGTGAGACGGGCGGGCAGGTGGGGGACGCAGTATCTGGCGTCCCTTTCCTAGCCTCTGGGGGAGTCCTCTGCTTACCCAGTGTCCCTCATCCCTCAGGTCTCTCTTCTGTGGGGAAAGCCTGTCCCTTTGGTCAAGGTGCCTGTGCGTCCTCTTTGGGACTTTGGAACTGGCAAAACCCTCTGAGACAGGCCTAACTCCCTGCCATTTGAGGGACTCAGCTCCCTGGGTTTAGAGAAGACTTGCTGAGCGAGGCCCTCCTGCCCTCACACATACGTGTGTGTGTGTGCACGCGCGCACACATGCATGTGCATGTGTGCATGCATGTGTGATTGAATGGCCAGCCTTTAGGCATCCAGGTAAGAGAGAGGCCTAGAAAGCTCTCCCGGGCTTGACTGAGCTGTGCCCCAGCCACCCTGCCCTCCCTACCATACGAGGTAAGGCTGGGTCCAGCCAGAACTCAGATTGGGGTGCTCACCCTGGGGCATTCCTAAGTGTACCTTCACCTGGGGGAGGCCAGTGGCTCTGGGACTCAGAGGGGCGCAAGCTGACTGCTTGGTTTACCACCTGCTTCTGACTTTCAGCCACCGTGGGGGGAGGAGCAGGAGTGTCCTGGGAGCTGGCGTGTGACAGGGATCTGCTGCCAGGGAGGCCAGCTCGACCAGCACAGGGCAGTGGGCACTGGGGAGCTGAGCGCGGGCCCCACGCAGCCCCTGCTCCTTACAGGCCCTCCCCTGCCCTCTTTGGAGCCCTAGCTTCCCTGGGGCATGGGCTACGCCGCCAACCCACCTTGGGATGATGAGTCACAGGGGGGCCGGCCCGGCTGCCCGCTACCCGCCCTTCACCCCCCTCTTCCAGGGTGCGGCTGCAGGTCTGGCCTCTACAGGTAAACAAGGAGTTTGGGCATCTCTGCCTAGAGAACCTCCCCCGCCCGGTGCTCCCGGCCCCTGCAGTGACCTGGCTCACGTCCCATGTTGGGTGGCTCAGACTGGCTAGGGGCTCAACGGGGTCCTGGTTGCAATTCAAAGAGACACAGCAGACTCAGTGGGGAGACTGTAGCTGGGAGTGGCCAGAAAAGTCAGCCAGGGCACAACAGAGCTAGACAAGATCCAGGCTCTGCGCCTTCTGCCCGACCCGCTGCCCTCTGCCTAGCCCACACCACCACCTTTGGCCTTCCCCCAGCTGGGCTACAGCTTCTCTGAAGGGTCCCATAATGATCCCCAGACCCGGGAAGAAGAGAGGGCGCTGTTGTCTTTTTCTTGTTTGTACATTTGGGTCACACCCAACTGTGCTCAGGATTTACTCCTGACTCTGCTCAGGGTTCATGCCTGGTGGGCTTGGGAGACCCTATGGGGTGCCAGGGATTAAACCCAAGTCGGCTGTGTGCAAGGCAAGTGCCCTCCCCTCCCGCTCCCCGCTCTACTAGCTCTCGGCCCGCTGATTTTTCTTCACAGCAACTCTCCCTCCTCCCCCACGGACCCCACAGGAAAGTGCTCCCCAACTCTCATTACCTCTGAGTCTGTCTCTCACGCAGGCCTGGCAAGGATAGCCCGAGGGCCCGAGTATGGGGCCCTGCAGGGCGGGGACACCCGGGCAGGGGAGAGCCATTGTCCTCCAGGTCATGTGAAGGGCTAGGGACAGTTGTGTCTATGTCTTCTCCCTGGGTGTGGGCTGGGCTGAACCTGAGGCCGTCCCTTCCAAAGGAACACCCTGAATATGGGAGAAGTCCCTGCGACCACAGAGAGGAAAGGAAGCAGCGGCCACCACAGTGGGGCGAGGCGGTGGTGGTGTGCGGCCAGCACCGGGCAGCACTGACTCCATGGCAGACATAGGAACCCATAAGCGAGTTCCTGAAGGCACTTCTAAGTTAGATTCCTGCGCATTCTAAGTAAGAAGGTCTTGGACCATATGGTACAGCTCATGTCCAAAGTGGGCCTGAGGGATCTGCCCAGTAGGGTTGGAGGCAGTGGGTGCTGGATGCTTGACTCTGTTCTGTAGCTTGGACAGGCAGGAGCCTGGGGCTCAGGCACCCCCACAGTGTGCGCGCCTGGGCTGGGTCACGCGTGGCTCAGGACAGGCTTTGGAGCAGTTCTAAGCTTTCTTTTCATACACTAATTCATACTCTTTTCGTATATTTATATATGATTGACCTGTGATGAGCCAGGCCTGGCGCTAGGCTCTGAGGGAATCAGGCTAGACGTTGCCTGTGGCCAGGCTCTCAGACTTGGCTGACTCCTGCCCCATGGTGCGGTTCTACTGCCAACTAGTTGCTGACTTTTCTCCCCCAGGCCACGTCTGGAAGATGCTCAGGGGCTATTGCTGGCTCATGCTCAGGAGTGGCTCCTGGCAGTGTTTGGGCAACCGTGTGTGGTACCAGGATCGGAATCATGATCACAGCTGTAGCAGCTGCATACAAGGCAAGTGCCTTCCCTCCTGTACTTATCGCTCTGGCCCAAGCTAGTGATTTTGGGTAGAGAAGTTCATCTCTTGGAGACTCAGTCTCAAAATTGATCAACTACAGTAGCTTATGAGTTGGGATTCAAGGGATAATGTGGAATCTGGCCTGGGGCACGCCACACTCTTAATCAATAGTCATTTTTGTAACTGCTGTTCCTGGAGCAGATCTCTGCTCTCTCCTGCGAAGTCAGAAGAGGGACAGACTGAAGTTTGAAGGAAGATCCAAGGTTGGAATCTCAGAGTTATACACGGCCCCTAATAATTTAGTTAAGAAGTGGGATTATGCCCGGAGTGACACACAGGGTCAATGGTGAGAGCAAAAGTCGGCCTGGACCAGAGGGCCTGGGGGAGACAGGTTGGGGTGCAGAATGGGAACCTCTAAAAAGGCTGCAGTGAGGGCTGGGCAGCCCTTTGGACCAGACTGGTGTGAGCTGGGTAGGGGGACACAGGCCTGTCAGAAGCCATGACAGGATGCAGTGTGAGGAGACACGAGCCTGGGCCAGGGCTGCCCTGGGGATGAGTCTGGAATGGAAGGGGAAGATGTGAGAAAGATCTAGAAAGAATGGCCAGAATGAGACTTTGCCAAGGGAGCCAGAGGAGCCAGGAAGGTGGGGGACCGGGTGGAAGGGGGCTCCCTCCAAATGCAAAGCAGACAGTCTTAGGCTGCATCTCCAGGACCCTGGCACAAGAGTAGTTCCTGCTCTCCCTGTGTTGGGGAGCACTGGGAAGACTGGGAGGGGGGATGACACCCCCAAAGGAGGTTGCCAAGTGGCACACTCAGTCTGCCGCGTCAGGGACTGGGGGGTCTGAAGGGCTGGGGTGTTCAGGGGAGAGCATGGAGCGGCCTGAGGACAGGCTGCAGCGGGAGCGAGGCTGCCTGTTGGGGAAACTTCTGTCCCCGAACAGAGGCTGCCTGGGGACATCTCATCCCAGGCACCCACAAAGCACCAGGCCGAGAACTTGCACGTGCGGGGGGCTGCCTCTCCCAGAGGCTCCTGGCAGCCCAGCCTCCGTAATTGCCTTCTAAAAATATCCTCCCCCACCCCCACCTCCCAATTTCAAAATATTTAGTTTTCAGGGTATTTAAAATGAGAGCTGGCAGCTCCTTCAGGCCCAGATAACAAAACTAAACATTTATGCTTCGCCTGCATCTCCCTGCATCTGCCCAGATCTCGGGCCAGGATCTGCAGTGCGTGGGGGTGTGGGGGGGAGGGGGTCAAGTGCAGGCTGGGTCCTGGGGAGCCTCCCAGGCCTGGCTGACCTGCAGTTCGGGGGACACCTACCGCTGTTGACGTGGAGCCGACCCCGGACCGAGTCCTTGCCCAGGATGTTCTCGGCCTCGCACACGTACTCGCCGGCATCCTCCAGCTTCACCTTGTTGAACTGCAGCCTCGAGTTCTTCCTGGTGGGGGGCAGAGGGAGAGGCATGAGTTGGCAAGCCCCCCCTGCAGCCATCCCTTCCCTGGGTGCAGGAAGAGCTGGATGTAGAGGCCCTCAGAGTGGCCAGTTTTGGGGTCCAGGAGACCTTCTGTGTCCCCAGAGAAGGGCGCTATGGACCCTGGGGCCCATGAGTTGTGACTTGGTGGTGCCATCCCCCAGGCCAGGCGTTTCTCACAAACACTTTTTTTTATTAGTGAAACACCATGAGGTACAGTTGTAGATTTACAATTTTTTGTGCTTGGGTTTCGATTATACAATGATCAGATACCCATCCCTCCATCAGTGTCCATTTTCCACCACCATGGATAATATCCCCCCCACCCCCATCCCCCCATCCCCCCTGCCCCTGTGGCAGGGCAATCCCCTGTGTTCTCTCTCTCCTTTTGGGTGTTGTGGTCTGCAAAAGAGGCATTGAGTGGCACAAACACTTTTCTTAGGGAGGAACAAGGTCCCCTTGGGAAGTCACAGGATTACCGCCCCTCCCGCTGTGCCTGTCCTACTACCAGTATCTCCTTTGTTTCCACCAGGGCAGCCACTGGCTGCCCAGTTCCCTCATGGACAAAGTGGCCGGTCACATGGATGAACATGGCCACTGTTCCTACCAGGCTTGTCTCCTGCACTAACCATTGCTCTGTCCTTCCTTGCAGGCCCTGGGGTCTCCTAAGGCGCTTCTACTTTTTCATTCATTCATTCTCTCAACAAAAGTGAACTGAGTGTCTCCTGTGCACTTAAGGGAGCAACAAGATGTGATCCCTGTGGCCTGACCTATCTGGAGGTTTGTGGCGAGGTACAAATGGGGAAACTGAGTCTTCAGGGCTTCTGTCCAGCTGGATCTGGGGGCACATAGCCAAGTGAAAGCAGAGACGGTTGTGGTGTGGCTGGGGATGGGCCTCTCAGCAGCTCATGCGTGGAACCCTGTGGGAAGGCTCTGGCCCTGGTTTCGTGGGGAGTGGGGCTGAGGCACAGGGCGGTGGAGCCAGGTGCTGTGCCAACGTGGGGGGCTGTTCCTTTACTGCTGTGACTCAAAGTCTCCCACACCTGGCCTACCTTGGCTCTGCAGGGCCCGTGACCCCTTCTGTCCCCTCCCTCAGTCCCGGGGCCCCCTGGGGCCCCAGGGGAGGGGGGAAGAAAGAACATGAACATTTCTTGACCTGATGCAATCTCCCTTTTTTTTTTTCAGTCCCCAGTGAGAAAATCCAGAGTCCCAGAATGCATGTTGTAGCTTCAGGGGGAGGCAGAATAGGAGGCAGGTGGTGGGGGTCTGAGTCTGCTCCACAAAGCTAACCAGAGGCACGAAGCTGAAGGGGACAGGTGGCCTGGGGGTGAGTGGAGACTGGGCAGGGGCTGGGGACAGCCAACTGACCCATACCCTCTGTGAGCTGAGCTTGGAGACCTATTTCCTGGGCTCTGTCCTGGTGGGGGTGCCACCTTGCAGCAACCCTGAGCCTGTTGGTGAGGTGCTGTCACCACAGGGCCCACAGTGACATCTGCCAAGATCCCGGTGCCCCACGTGCCTCCTTGTCCCACTGTCTGCCTCGACCTCACTGTCAGCTCATTGCAGCTTGCTCCCCTCATTGAGCCGGTGAGGGTGGCCCCCCTCCCCATCAGCCTTTCCTGCCAGCTCCCGGCCCATCAGACACAGAGCAGCCCAGAAGCTGTTGGTGCTCCCTGGTCCTAGTTGAGGGGCTGAGGGATGGGGAACATAGCTACAGGCTGCCTGCAGCCAAGTCGAGATCCCTCCCAGAGGACCCCCCATCCCCTTTCCTCTACCTTGGCAGAGACTTGAGAGAGAAGCCAAGGTATGAAGAGGGAGGAGGGAGATGGTTGTCCAAAGGCCCAGGGAGCCCCCCTCACTACCCCCACACCCCACTCCTTACCCCTGCTCCCAAACAGGAGCCCAGGAGACAGAGACAAATATCCTGCCTGCAGCCCCCTGGGCCCCTGCTGACCTCACCAGCTCTAGGAAGGGTAGGGGGGGGTCCCAGCCTCAAAAAGGAGGTTCTGGCTCAGAGCTGAGGGTGGGCTGCCCTGGGTGAGGAAGGACCACTCATGGTCCCCCCTCCATCTAGATCCAGTGGGAGCCCTAAGAGGGAGGTTGCCTCCACCTTCCTGAAGGTGGGCGGGCGCCACTGACCCAGGCCTGGCCCCCGCCACCCTCCTTCCTCCCTCAGCCGGTTTTCTGCTGGCAGGGACAGAGCTGGGCTGCGGGCAGCGGGGGGGCCCCACCTGCGGGCACATTCTCCCTAGCCTGCCTGAGGGGCCTGTTCTAGCCTGCTCCTCATAAATGAGAACACTGGGTGCTCCAGGGGAGGCCCTGTGCCTGGGGAGGGGGTGCATTTTCTCCGGGAACAGGAAGACCCAATGTGATATCTCAGTGCGGCCCCCAGGAGACTATTGGCACCCACTGGAGGGGGTCCCCGCAGGCCAGAAGCCCTGCCAAACCAGGGTACACTCGGGGCCCTGTTGGCAGGAGTGGGATCAGCGAGCAGACAGCAGTGGGGACAGGTGGGGGAGAAGGTCCTCAGAGCCTGTGTGTGAGGGAAGGGAGAGACGTTGGGGGCCAGTTGGGGGAGCATGGAGATTTCAGAAATGTAGCACCAAGGGCGGGGGGCATACTCCAGGCTCTTAGGAGTCTGCCCATACCCGGGAGACCTGTCTGGCCTTGTTCTGAGACTGGGTGACCCAGTGACAGACACTGAGGTTGGCCAGGACCATCTGTAACTCAAAGGACAGGTCAGCCCAGGGATCTATGGCCAGTCCTGGTATCCCACTATGCCCAGAAGATCCTTCCAGAGGCCCTTCCATTTCTCACTGAGTGGGGGGTCTCTCATGCCTGGCCACTCAGAGGAACAGTGGGGACAGAAAACCCAGGCAGTAAGGTGCTCTTTTTTTTTTTTGACCATACTCAGTGGTACTCAGGGCTTACTCCTGGCTCGGCCTCTGCACTCAGAGGTCACTCCTAGGGGACTCCGGGGACCATATGGGGTGCTGGGGATTGAACCAGGGTTGGCTGCATGCCAGGCAAACTCCCTCCCAGCTGTACTATGGCTCCAGCCCTTGCAAGGCCCTCTCTGACCCTGAGGGGCTCCCCACAGGGCACTGAAGCTGCCAGGGCACCAGTTGGGGGTGGCTGGAGCTGCTCGGGGCCTGGGATGGTGACCCTAGAAAGGGAAGGACACATGAGCCAGCACAGGAAGAGTGGGATTAAGACAGAAAAGGTTGGCATGGAGAGCACTGTGTTCGGGGAACCAGGGCCAGGAAGAAGAGAGAGGGAGGGGTTTCCCTTCTGGCCGCAGGACAGCTCCAGGGCCAGGGGGAGGCGGGCATGGGCTGGGTGGGGTGTAAGATGCACTTTTCTGAGCAATGGGTGGTACCTTTCACCACATCTGGCAACAGAAGTAGATGGGAAACTGCGCAGGCCGGCTGCGTAGGCTTCAAGCTGGCTGGTTTGCTCCCCCCCGGCCCTGGTAGGGCGCCTGATCACAGCTGATGCTGCATATGTACAGGAGTGTGAACGGGAGTGGGGTGGAGAGAGGAGGCTGGAGGCAGGGAGAGGGGCTAGGGGACATGGGGTGTGGGGGAAGGGTGTCTCCTTCTGGGCAGTGCCTATCTGGTAGGGAAAGGCCACAGGGCAGGGCCAAGCAGCAAGTCCCTGGTTCTGCTCAGATGCAGAGGGCACAGGTGGGAAAAAAGGCAGGCTTAGGAGCTAGACTGGAGCCCCCTGAATCAGAGAGGTGGGAGTCAAGGGGTGTCAGGCGAGCAGCATGGGCCTGGGGGCACCTCAAGGGGTGTCAGGCGAGCAGCATGGGTCTGGGGGTATCTCAAGGGGTGTCAGGCGAGCAGCATGGGTCTGGAACTCAAACTGCCATTCAGCTAGAGTAGAGTCTTGGGGTGACTGGAGCTGGGGGTGAAACCCCAAAGACAGACAAGTCCTGGCACTGATGGTGCCGAGAGTGCTGGAGGCCCTGAGGGGTAGCCCGGAGCCGACCGAGGGGCAGAGCAGCAGGTGAAGCAGGGGAAACTCTGGGTCTCAGGACCCTAGACAGACAGTGTGGGGGTGTGTCTCTGGAGGCATGCGGGGGGGGGGGGGGAGGGGAGGGAAGAGTCTACAGGGAGGCAGTGATAAAGTGTGAGGGGAGCAGGCGTGGGGTGGGCAGGAGGGAAGCGGGTAGGGGGGGGACCCTGCAGGGCTGGGGGGAGAGAAAGGAGCTCCCTGAGGGGATATTCACGCATGTTCAGGAGCTGGATGAAGGGGAGACTTGGAGGCCCACAAATGGGAGGATGACGTGGCCAGAGAGTGGCTGCCTCTGGGTGGGAGAGCGTCTCACCTGCTCTGCAGCCTGGCTCTGGGGAAGAGGACTTGGGGAAAGGGCCCATCCGACCGGCCATTCTCCCCCTACTGTGGAGCCAGTCTGGTGGCCCCTGAAAATGAGATTGGCAGGAACCCGACTTTCTAACTCATGAGACCCCTCCCTGCAGTTCCGTTAGGAAGCAGTGCTGAGGGTCTCAGCCAAACCCTCCTGAAAAGTACTTTATTTTCTGCCTAAAGTCCTTTATTTCCCCTATTTTCTAGGGAGCTATCTCTGCCACTTCTGGGAGGACAGTCAGAGAACTGGAAATGCCTTCCACCTGTCCTCATCCCCTCAGATTCGGACAAGCCAGGAGCGGCTGAGTATGGCCTTCCTGGGGAGTGGGCCCTGGACCTCTGGAATCATCTTTGCGTTAGAAGGTAAGAAGGAAAATGGCTGTACCTAATCTGAAGAGGCAGGAAAAACTGGGGTGCACCTCAGTCAAGAATGTCCTCCCGGGGCCCCCCAGACCTCTCTGACTCCAGATGCAGAGGAGCATCCACAGCCTGGAGGTATCTGAGCTCCTGATGTGCCTCCGGGTACCTGACTCCAAGATGACAGAGTCCCATGGCACAAGGGCAAGCTGAGAGGAAGCCCCCCGTCCCCAGTGAGAGTCAGGGCTCACTCCTGCCCTGGTTCTCCATGGGAGCTGGGATGGTGGCCCTGGGCACAAGACCTCCCACAGCTCTCTTCTTCGTTGTCCCCAGAGTGCCTGGTGGTGAGTCCTTTGAGATGTTTCAGGGCCAACAAGAGACTCGCAGGTAAAGCTGGAACAACCAAATTGTTTCCAATCAGCCAAGACCAAGTCTGTAGGCTGCAGGCTCGGGGCCAACATCCTCAGAGCTGCTAGGAGACACCGGCTGCAGTGATGAAAGGGCCCGGCCTCAGTCTCGGGGCTGGTGGTGGTGCTCACCTGCCATTGCCGTACTTGATGCGGATGTCCCTGCTGCGGTTGAGCTCCTTGCCGTCCTTGAACCAGCGGTAGGAAGGCTGGGGGTTCCCGGCTGCCGCCTCGCACTTCAGCGACTGCTTCTCACCCACCTGTCCCGTCTGACTCTTCATCTTCTTCAGCTTGGGTCGGGTGGCTGTGGGGGTGCAAGGCAGACAGATGAGCATGGTGTGTGTTGGGGGCAGGGCAGGAGCTGTAGAGAAAGGGCTGCGGTACTTGAGAGGAGGCAGGAAGCCACCCCCGATGCCCCTGCCACCGTGTTACACCCCAGCTCAGTTCCATGTGTGCTCAGAGGCTCTGCTATGGTCTCAGGGCAGCTGCAATTGCAGAGCACTTTCTTCGTGCCTGGGAACATGCCAGACGTTGACGTGTATGGCTCATGGGAATTAGGATGAGACTTACTTATGGATGGGAAAACTGAGGCCGAGAATGGTGATGTCACTTTCCCAAGAAAAACGGAACTAGGCTGCAGGCCCCAGTCCCCTTGATTTCAGTGCCAAGGTCTAGTTCTTGTCCTGCACCCCTAGACTTAAGGAGGATCAAGAGGAGAGCCTAGTTTCCATGCTCAGGAAGTTCAGGCTGCCTGGGGAGCCAGAGCCTTGCCTTCACATCAGAGTAGGAGTCAAGGGATGGGAATGGGGGGGAGCACAGATCGTGGTGGGGAGCTGGAGCCCAGAGGAGCAGCCCCAGCCAACGCTTCTAACGCAACTCAAACTTAGCAAACTTATCCAGGAGTTAAAACATGGGAGTAGAGGCTGCAGTGATAGTCCAGCGGGCAGGGTATTTGCTGACCTGGGTTCAATCCCAGCACCCCACATGGTCTCCAGAGCCTGCCAGGAGTAATTCCTGAGCACAGTCAGGAGTAAGCCTTGAGCACCACTGGGTGTGGTCCAACTGTATCCCACCCCCGCCAAAATAAAAGGGAGTAGAATGAGAAGTGGCGGTTGGGGGCCCACCAGACCAGGCAGAGTAGGCTTGAAGGAACCACCTGCGTCTGGGGCTGAGGTGATGGGAGAAGGAGGGGCTGTGTGGGTTCCACCTGCTGGGAGCTCTCTCACATACTTCCATGTGTCTCAATCTCCCATGGTTCATACATTGCTTCCCCCAACCCATAATATTAGCAAGAAAGGAAGAAGGGCTGGGGAGTTAGCTTGGCAGCTCAAGCACTTTGCATGCTGAAGGTCCTGGTTTCCTTGGAGGCGAGGGCAAGCCCGTGGCCTGCTGGGGGCTAACAGTTCCACCAGGACCATCATGGCTGTACAGTGCCTCCAGGCAGACCCCGCTTCTCGCTCTAAGGCAGGGATCTTGTTTACAGTGAAGGTGAGACTGAGTGAGAAACAGTACCAAGGTCACATGTCCAGCAAGCTCAGAGTGGACACCAAAGCCCAGGGCCCTGCATGTATGACACAGCTGATGGAGAGCAGTCTCATTTATCTTTGAGGTGTGCAGAACCTGGGTAAAACCCAATAGCACCAAAGAGGGTGGTCTGGGGGTGCTGATGTGCACTGCCCAAGCCATGGGCCCTTCCCATGGATGCTGAGAGCTACAAACCACAGGAAGGAACCCCTCACTGCGCCCAGCTGCTGCTCTTTTTTTTTCTTTTTGGGTCACACCCGGTGATGCACAGGGGTTACTCCTGGATCTTCATTCAGGAATTACTCCTGGCGCTGCTCAGGGGACCATATGGGATGCTGGGAATCGAACCCAGGTCAGCCATGTGCAAGGCAAATGCCCTACCTGCTGTGCTATTGCTCCAGCCCCCCAGTTGCTGCTCTTAAGTGGTGAGTGCAATAACATAAGAGAAAGGGCTGCCCACTAAAAATATAGGTGGGATGAAGAAGTAGACAAAATGATCTCTTATATTAGCACCCAAATAAAGCACACAAACGCATCTACATGTTGAAGCAAGTAGACCACAGCTAATCTCAAATGACTGTGACCATGAAAACTTTGGCCTTATATGTTCATAACAGCATCTCTTGAACCCAATTCTCTAAGTTATAAGTATCCTGGTAGACAATAGTAGATACTACCAGAAAAAAGGGTTCCACAAGTCAGTCACCTTGGGGAACACTCTGGTAAACAGTTAAGAAGTAATTTCATTGATTTCAGTATGAGTTTCTGAGTAAGGAAGGAACTTGGGGCATTTTTTTCTCTTAGTAGCATAGAGGATATAAAGGTTTCTTTTTTTTTTTTGCTTTTTGGGTCACACCCAGTGATGCACAGAGGTCACTCCTGGCTCAGGCACTCAGGAATTACTCCTGGCAGTGCTCGGGGGATCATATGGGATGCTGCGAATCAAACCCGGGTCGGCCGCATGCAAGGCAAATGCCCTACCCACTGTGCTATTGCTCCAGCCCCAAAGTTATGTTTTTTAGAATACACATATATGTATTTTATAATACATATATATTCTATAGATTATGTGTATACTTATTTATAGAAATGTGCATATTTTAATAGATGATACTTTCGTAAGCCTCCCTTGAGCTTCACAGCTGTCTTCTGGGGAAGCAGCCCTTTCAGTCAGTCAGTTCCTTTTAGGCCCCTCTAGACACTTATTTATTCATTGATACTGTGCTGGGAATTGAATCAGCGATCTTTCATGCATACAAAAAGCCCCAGTATTCACTCACATATTTTTTCTATAGCATCATTTTTCGTGGTTGCATAACGTTCCGCTGTGGGTGTACATAACCCATAGAACCAGTTTCTTTGGCGGGACACTCAGTGTATTTCCATTCCCGCCCTTCTCCCCCCATTACACCCAAGTCAGGGACACCCTTGTGGCTCACACAGTATACACACGGGCATACAGCTGAACAGGGCGCAAATCAGACTCTGCTACTGGCTAGCTTCGTGTCCTCAGGTTATAGACTTAATCCTTTTCGCCTCAGTTTCCTCATCTGTCCAGGTGATAACAGGTCCTACCCTGTGGGCTGATGGCTCTGAGGATTATATGAGATAATGCATGTAGAGCCTGGCACACACACAGGGAGCATTTAATCAAGGTTAGCTATTAGTTATTATTATCCATGATTATTTCCTAAGGCAATCCTAAAAGTGGAATTGCCGTGTCAAAGGGTATGCAATCCTTCTCAGCTTTACCTGTTGCCAAATTGCCTCCTGGAACAGTTGCACCAATTTGCACTCCCACCGATGAATGGCAGCGCCTGTTTTTTTTTTTTTCCACACCCTCACCAACATGTTTTTATCATGTATTTAATCTTTGCCAATTAGCTAGGCAAAAGATAACGTCTCTTTGTTGTCTTAATTTGCATTTATTTGATTATTGGGAAGGCTGATTGCTTTTCACAAGTGTATTGGCCTTTGTATTTCTTCCCTGTCAATTGCCCGTTCTTGTCTGAGCTGTTTTTCTAGTGAGTGCTCAGGATCTTATTGACCTGTAAGAGTTCTTTGTATCAGTTAAGCTTATTAATCTTTCTCTATAATTCCCCTGCAACTGTCTGCTTACACTTTCATGCTTTCCCCTTCCTCTGTGCATGCATATACCTGAGTTCACTTGTGAATCCCAAAGGTGTTTTAATGCACATTCATATTCCATCTGCTGGATTTTCTGGAACTCCCTGATTCTCAGTGTGAGAGAAGCCCTACCTCAGCATCATCCCCGACCCTTACCCGTACCTCCAACCTCCTCCACTTGCTTGCTCTGAGGTTCCAGTCACTCCACATCAATAACTCTTAAGTGAATGCTAATAAACATATGGGAAGCTTTAAACACTGTGTCAGTGCTTGGGATACTTCCTAAAACAGAACCTCTGAGAATAGATGAGGGAGCAGGTATTAAAGACTCTCTAGTCTTCCTGACTTAAACACACTCATACACACATGCACAGAGAAGAATGCACATATTATGAGAGTACAGTTCTGCAGGGCCGCAGAGAGCTCAATGGGCAGAGTGCATGCTTTGCATGTGGGAGCCCCAGATTTGAGCCCTGGCACCACACGGTCCCCTGAGCACTGCCAGGAGTGACCTCTGAGCACTGAGCGAGGAGTAACTCCTCAACACCACTGAATGTGTCTCCAAAACCAAACAAACACATCAAAATCTGACTGCAATCTGAACACATCTTCCTGGGTGGCTTTGCTCTAAGGCTGAGCTGACAGCCCGTGGTCTAACCTCTAAGTCAACTGGTGACATCCATCTTGTCCCCTTCTCCAGAGCTGGGGGCCCAGGCTGCTGTGCTAAGGTGTGTCCTTAGCTGCTTGGAGAGCACTGACTATCCTTGCAGTTCCACAAGGAGAGGGCCCACCTACTCCCCCAGGGAATAGGATGGGGCTGGGTTGAAAGGGGGGTATCAACTGCTGGCAGGAAGGTTGATCACTTAGCCAACTTGTTGCTGGCAGGGGCCTGTGGCCACTGCCGAATATATGCATGAAAGACACTCCAGAAACATCAAACATGACCCCAACTGAGTGCTCAGGGATCTGGGGGTTCCAAAGTCACAGCCCAACACCAACGGAAACCCTGGGGCCACATTTCAGGTCTCCATGAACCCAACCTTGTGAGGACTTAAAGCCCCTGCTTTACTCCTCTCCTCAACAGTCCTCTGCATGAGCCTGCCTTCTAGTAAAGGGGACAGTGAGCAGAAACTACAAGGTGGGAAGAAGCAGCTGGAGAAAAGCTGGTGAAAAGTCAGGAATGTGCACTGAGGCTGTAAGATGGCTGAGAGAGCAAGGGAGGCAGGCGAGGGAGGGGGCAGCCCAGGTGGCAGCGGGCAGCATGAGAAAGGATGGCGGGGACTGGACTTGTTTTGCATTTCTAATTAAAAAAAGGTTTTTTTTTTTTTTTGATGGGTAGTTGGGGCCACACCTGGCAAAGCTCAGGTCTTACTCCTGGCTCTGCTGCACTCAGGGAACACTCCTGGTGGTGCTCTGAGGACCATATGTCATGCCTGGGATTGAATCCAGGTGGGCTGCATGCAAGGCAAGAACCCTACCTGCAGTACTGTGTTCCAACCCCTGTTTTGCATTTGAAAAATGTATGCTCACTAGAAACATTTCAATGACATGTGTGGACAACATTCCATTCCTAACATTATTGGTCTCTGAGATGACAAAGTAAAGGAAGCTGCACTCTGGAATCATGATCTTCCTTCCAGAGTCTTCCAGATT